CTTTGGAAAGGGGATACCTGTGAAAAAAAAAAAAAAAAAAAAAAAAGGAACTGACTGGGTGGGTTGTTCCTCCGATGAGCATGGGGGTCCTCGGGTTCTGCGAAGATGCTGGAAGCCATCTTGTTCTTGCGCTGCGGTGTGGTGTTTTCGTCGGTGCCGAAGGAGAAGCTGGAGGCACCGCCTGGCGGTCGTAGTACCCTGGGGAAGTGCAAGTTTTCCACATTTTAATGTTTCACAGGTGGGAGTATTTTGTCCTTCATCGTATGAATTCAATTCCCAACGGTCAATTCTCTTCCTTTTGGAACATATGCTTCCAGTACTTTATGAACGTAAGATTTTTTTTTTTTTTTTTTTGGTCCAATCAGATTTCATCCTCTACATGTTGCCACGTCAGTCTAATCTGCACAGGGACTTCCTCATCTGTAGGGCTGACCTGGAACACTTGCCTTCAAACTATATTAGCAATGGGACTGTTAACCGATCGGATTTCAGCAAGCCGGTCCTTGATTTATTTCGTCCTCAGATTGGCTGGTCAGAGCAACACGTACAGCCAACTTTGACTAACAAAACTAACCTACAGCGATATGCACACAATACATTTAATAATCAGCATCTCTTGGGAGCATGAGACTAATAAAGGTTTTCTTATCTTATCTTAAAACAAGTCTACAGTACAGTGATATGCACACAATACATGTAATAATCGGCATCTCTTGGGAGCATGATGTCTGATGTATTTTATTTTAATTTATGTTTTTTTTTTTTTTTTAATGTTGATAGAAAAATTCTTATCTGCTCCGGATGAGGCACGTGGCACAGTTGCACACTGTTGTACTGTACTGTGGTCTTTTTTTTTTTTTTTTTAATGTTGATAGAAAATTCTTATGTGCTCCGGATGAGGCACGTGGCACAGTTGCACTGCACTGTGGTATAGTGTTGATGCAGACTGGCATGCGTGCCTTACTTCCTCATGTAGCGGACTGTAGAAAACACTGAGGCATCTATTAGAGGTGCTGCTATTATTTAGGAGTAGGACTTGTTTTTATAAAAAAACAGTTCTTTAAGATTCGATTCATTTCCATAAATTGTACTTTTCTGTCACCTTGATGCAGACTGGCATGCGTGCCTTACTTCCTCATATAGCGGACTGTATAAAACACTTAGGCATCTATGAGAGGTGTTGCTATTATTTAGGAGTAGCACTTGTTTTTATAAAAACAGTTCTTTAATATTCGATTCATTTCCACAAATTGTACCTATCCATCACTTTGCTTATTTTCCGGTCACAAGTCGAGCACATAAGAATAATTCATCTCTTAAAGCTTTCTATCCAACTTCACACAAACTTTCTTTTTCCTGAAAAGTAGTCAGTGGCGATTTGGTTTCTTAATATCGCAGATTTTCACGTACGCCGTGTGGGACTGTAACATACCCCCGCCCCCGCGATAAACATGGTTTCACTGCACATTATGACGATTTGATTCTCTAAGCTGGCAGGCATTCTGTCACAGAATGTCTGCCCTGACTCCGGCGAGCTGCAACCGTTGGATTCTTTTGCAATGACAGACACACGAGGGTGGTTATCTCCATTATTGAATGGCTCCATTGAATCCAATGTTCTCTTCTGGGTTAATATTAGTCAACGCATGTCAAAAGTTAACGTTATATATGTCACTGGATGAATAGAATTGGTAAGTGAAGTATCTTCACACCACAAGTTGAACAAAAGGAAGACGGCTTTTTTCTTGTTGACCCAAAAGACAAAAAGGGCGACCGGACCCCTCCCTCTTTTTTTTTCTTGGTCTCTCCTCGGGAGTCAATGAAGCCACCAGCTGACACACTGAGCAGCTGCCCAAGGCTCTGCTGGCCAATATGGAAAGACAGCAAATGCGCGTTGTCTATCAAGCAGTTCTTACGCATCCGTGACTGTCCTGCTTGGCTCGCGTGGGAAAAGCTAAAGCAGAGCTCACCTACCGGGCCATGGGATGAGCTCATGCTTTCCACACAGACACAGAGAAAGCGAGAGAGGGAGGCTTTAAGCGGCCTGGCAGCAGACCCCACCCTAGAATCACACTGCAAATGACATCAATGTGAAATGGCTTTAGCAGACAGAGGCTGCCTAGGGTGGAGGGGCAGCCAGTGGAAGCATGGAGTGTTTGTGGGGCCAAAAACGCCAAGTCTGATAAGGCAGCCGCTTGATTTTGGTGGCCTGGTGAGCGCTGAGCCTCATTCAGGGTCGCCTGATTGCGTCTGGAAGGAGCCCGTCAGACCAACCGGCTACACAGATGAGCAGTAAATTCGACTTGAAAGGAGCGAGAGCAAGAGATTTGGGAGGCTTAGCTAAACCAAAAGTCCCCACCCGAGCACCCCCCACCTCTTTTACACATGCCAGATCAAAACGCTTGATGACGGACACAGATTTGTTCAGTTAAAAAAAAAAAAAAGATCAGGTCACCTTTCTCAAAATCTGATTTCTGCTATTCCCTGAGTCATACCCTCCTTCCTCATCCATGCACTGCAACAGCACATTTTCTTTGCATTGTTTTGTGGGCCAAGTGGGAGGTGAGAAGGCGAGCTTCATGACTTCCAGCTATGATATGACTGCATACCTTTTGGATGAGTAGCCCTGCAGTGGGGCTTACTCACAAAATGAAGTTTTAAACACATTGAATAGTCTTTCGTTGAAACTGGACCTACAATGGACTGTTCCTGCGTTAAAGGACATTTACAGATCCAAAAGATTCTTCCTGTTTGCAGAGCACTGTCAAACTCTTATAAGGTATTGAAACCACAATTACAGACGAAAGATAAGAGTAACGATACTGTAGCAGTTTGACTAGAGATGAGCTACAAAGTTATTCGGCCTACTTACTTAAACGCCCCCACCCCCCAAAAATCATGAATATGATTAGCATTTTTTCTCAAGTTATTGCCACTCTTAAACTCATCCACCTAATTACTGAACAAAGCCCAGACAGAATGACCCCATGCAGAGCAGCTAAAGTCTAAACGGCGCATCGGATTAACTTAATTAGCAAGATTGGGCGACAGTTGAGCTCAAACCACGAGAATCCCCCACCAGCAGAACCAGCAGCACCAAGAGCAGGCTAACGGCGGCTAGCGGGTTAGCTTCTCGGGAAGAAAAAGAGGCGTTTTTGTTCGCCGCATCCCCTCCTTTTGTTAACCGCCGCCGAATAGACTCAAAGCCGCCGTTTACCTGGAACTGCTTTTGGCACCAGGATCCACTCCTTGGAAGGTGGTGGTGGTCGTCATCTTCGAGGGCTACTTCGGTGAATTCGAAGCGACGAATAGGGGAAGGAAAAAAAACTCAACGGCCAAGGGGGATCTACAGCGGTGGTCTCCACCCGACAATGTGGAAAGCCTGAAGCCGTCCGTACAGTGAGAAGACCAGCTTCGGTAACTGCAAACCTTGACCCCGCCCACTATTATTCGTCTGGCTCTGATTGGACGGAACCTGGTATAACTCATCTGTCATTGGATGAAAAACACGGAACTCACCTCTGTTGTTGGTGGCAGCTTCCAAAGCAAAAAAAAAAAAAAAAAAAAAAGAAAGACACGAGTATCTAATTTATAGAATTTATCATACAGGATATCCATACAGCTTCCTGAGATCGGTACAATTTTGTTTTGTGTGGTTAAAGGAGTAGATTGAATACTCAAGATGTCTGCTTCACAGTTTTGAGGTTGTGGGTTCGAATCTCAGTTGTAGCCTTCCTCCCACATTGCCAAAACACACGTTTGGTTAATTTAAGACTTCCCGAGACGCTAATAAGAAATCCTCCTCAAATTGTGTTGGTTCCTCCCCGCACTCCCAGGGGTCAAATTTACCCTGAACAGAATACTTCTTTAAACAGTTTTTCCTTCGAAATTTTGTATGTAGCACACATTGTATACTTTGAAATTACATGAACTAAAAGACAAAAAATAATTACAGTACTCCCAATTTTAGTGTCAATATTTTGATAGTCGTGTAAAACAGGTATTCTGAATACACAGTGGATGGGTGATTGTATTACTCAATATGTTAACAAACATTAAGTAAATAAACTAAGTTAAAAATATATGCCTTCCTGAAAGTTTACATTTAATCAAGTATAAAACATATTAGATTTATAAAGTACACCTCCATACGGTCAGCCTTCACCCAGCAGTGTTTTGTGTCCACAATTATAAATTGACACGTTACAGTAGATGTCTCTCATGATTTAATCCTGTACAGTAGTTTTGCAGAGTCTGCATATCTTTCTCATTTTAATAATCCCCAATAGACTTTGTGCCTTTTCTTGACAAGTACCCACATTATAAGGGTTAATTTAACCTAACATATTTCATCAACAGGACACATGAAACACACAAATCCTAAGCACTTAGTTATAGTTTCATAAGCAATCACGCTGGAGAGCATCACAAAATAAGAGTAATGGAAAAACAACAATAGCTTTATTTCAACAGGTATCTTAACAGACAATACAGATTGTTTGCATGAGGGCAAAATATCCCCCACCCCTTTCCCCCCCACCCCAAATGACGTTTGGTCTAGTTAACGGATTTTTCAAAGCAATTGTCCACAGATTCACCACCATATAGGGATAACAATCAAATTCATTTTCATATGATCAACAAATGAGAGTTTAGGCCCATTTCAACAGTTTGTTAAAGCCCAGACATTTATTGACGTGCTCCGAGTGGCCAGCACGCACAGTGACCTGATCATGCAAATCAATTTTGCAGGTGGTTAGTTTGGCCCCTTGTGACCACATTCTATAAGTAGTGTGAACATCACAGACAGTTTGAAAATAGCTCACATTGAGAACCAATTTACTAGCAAAACTCTGGACCTAGCCTGGTGATTGGCAAAGTTCTTATAGTTCTCATTCGAGAACCAGTCCAATTTGACGACCTAAATCCGAAACATCGATCTGGATTGGTTTATGTACAAATAGTACAGAGGTAACAGGGCCAAGACTGAAAATACTGTACAGCAGAGTCATTTAAACCTCAATAGGACAAGATGAGAATGATGTATATACCAGGCTGCGGTTCGGTTAAATGAGGAAAGATGACACCAAGGGTCGGTTGATTAAATCACGCCTCCTGTCTGTTGTTGGAACACGTCAATCGTGTCTTCGTCTTCCATTTCCAACTGTGAACAAGAACCATTCCAGAAGCAATTTTAATGTATTTTACCATGTCAGAAACATTGCACTTTTTTTTGTTACATCTGCTTTCCAGCCCTGCTGTGTTGAGGATATTCCTTGTTTTGTTCATTTAATGCACTACCATAAACCACATGGCATTTATAAAGCTTAGGTTGACCGGTTTTAAGTTTGAAATAGGTGAAAATACGCATAAAAAGAAGATTCTCGATTGCACGGTTCGTTAAGTTTGAAATAGGTGAAAATACGCATAAAAAGATTCTCGATTGCATGGTTCTCCAAATAAGAGGCAGAGTCTGTTTGCTTCATGCTGTTTGTGCGACTCCTGTTGGAGTACAAACAGGCATTATGTTACAGCATTGACAAACCTGAATCTCACAGACCCTCTTCTATGTTCACCCGATGAAAAACATTCTTGACAATTGTCAAAAATCCGTGGGAGGAAACTTTTTTTTTTTCCTCCAGCGAATCGAATCGTCGGCAGCATTGATAAGAGTTTTAAATGGTGTATTTTAACCACCGCCGGGTTCAAACGAATCATATTTTATCTCGTGAAATTCTGCTACCCCCTGCTAATTAACAATGCGAAGCACCATAAACGGCCTAGCGGGAAACACAAGTTCAGGAATAAAGGCCTCCCTCTGATAAGTGCCTTACTCTTAATCAAACCATGGTAATCGCTACAATTGAGTATCGGTAAATAGTTATCTGGGGAGATATGGTATTTTTCAATTATTTACAAAGGAGCTAAGTAAGCAAAAAAAAAACAAGTCAAACTACTGTCTTGATCTGCATTGTAATTACACGCCTTCTTCTTGTCCCTTGCCCTACTTTGCCAACACAAGCGCCTTTGTCCATTTAAGAATATCTGAGATTCTACATGTTTGCAAATCATGAGTCTTGGAGAGACGTTGGATACATGTTGTCCTCAAATCATGAATTACTCAGTTCAGTGTCCCCGTGAGGGAACATGGCAAAGAATGCGTGAAATGCTGGACAACGCGCATCCAAAACTTGACATGAAAGCTGCGAATGCATCAACACTAAGTCATGTGGAGATTCTGTGATTCCAGCAGCACAACGGTGAATTTCATCAGATCGTCTTAGAAAGACGTGTTGCTCTTTTTTTTTTTTTTTAAAAGTTCTTAAACTTACTTGTGATGGCGTGTCTGTCTCATTTATTGGCTGTCCATCAAACCTGAACCGGATTTGCCTCATGGACAGTCCCTGGAGAAACACACACACGCGCGCACACACACACACTGTCAGCATACATCTTCACTTTACATTGAGACATATTATAAGTCACTGTAGTTCACTGAAAGAGCCAATAAAAAGGTTGCCAATGATGTCACGGACTGTTGTCTTCAGATGTTTCTTCACCGCTCTCACAATGGTTCCGTGATCAACCGCTGTTGGTACCCTTGGTTGACCTGTTGGATGTCCGTTGCGCAGTAGTTTCTTTTCTTTTTCAGGACATTGCAAATTGTTGTACTGGCTATGCCCAATGTTTGCCCGATAGCTCTGATTGACCTCTTCTATCACCTTCAAAATGGGTTTGCTCTTCTACCCAAGACAGCTCTCTGGTTTTCATATTTGCTTAACAGCAAATGGAGCTTTCACAGGTCAAACCCAAAGCCAAAAAGAAGCACAATCGAATGTCTAACCTTTTCATGCACCCTGTCACCTGATAACATGATCAGCTGTCCACTGAACTAACCGCTGTCCCTGAAAGGGTTAAGCAATATCTAAAAGGCAACACTCAGCAACTGGACACACCCATCAGTCACATGTTCTTTGCTTTTGCCCCTTTGAAAAGTGGGTGAGTTCAAATAAAAGGTGCAGTGTTTGGAGTTGTTGAACAAACCGAGATGTAAATGCCATCAAATAAAAGCTGGAATTCTGAACTTTTGTCTCATATTCACATTTGGATCTGAAACCCAAATGTCTTCAGTACACATAACTTAGTACTGCAATATTTTTTTTCCGAGGGGTTTGTGCTTAAATGAATGGTGTAAAAAGATTCCTTACTGGATCTGAAACCCAAATGTCTTCAGTACACATAACGAAGTACTGCAATATTTTTTTTTCCGAGGGGTTTGTGTTTAAATGAATGGTGAATGGTATAAAAAGATTCCTTAGAATATAAAAGACGAAGACGCCCAATTGTCCTCTTACCATAACTGTTAAACAGATAAATTACCAAGAAAGAGAGTGCAGTAAGTACAACTTTGTTTGTCTTTACGAATGAGGCAAGTTGCATAGTGTGGAAGCGTGGCAACAATATAAGCTTAAGACAAGATTCATATTTTTTTTTACTGTCGTCATATAAAAGAAAACATACTTGTAAAGTACAAACGGTTGTTCCCCCTCTGAACCATCAAGCCATTTATTTGATTATTTCCATATGATGCGTCACACCGCAAGTACTGCATTTGGGCCACTTCAGTCGGGGGAAAATACCCCCCCCATAATCTGAAGAAGGACCAAACTGTCAAAAACGCCACATTAAAAGTGAAAACATGCCCACAATTTTGTTCCCCACTTAACTCGATACGATCGAGTGTAAGTGGAAAAATGTTTAAATTGGGGCCCTCGTAATTCAAGGCCCGCCTGTCTTATGTCAAGCGCTCACCTGTCTGTCGCAGTAGGCCTTCATGAGTTTGCTGAGCGCAGTGTGTCTTTTGATCTTGAACTGCACGACGGAGCCATCCTGGCCTGCCACCTTCAGGTTGATGTGTTCACTACCTTCAGTCTTCACGCCTTCCTAATGAGAGACAAGCAGGAAAAAACAAACAAACAAATAAACACAAAACCAGACATTGTTATGTTTCAGTGATGGGATGTCACAGCCAGCAAGGCTTTCTCAGTTGACCTAAATATTGAAGCTCCTATGTCACAGTTTGGTAAAGCGGCCATTTTGTCAGTTGCTGTCGACTGAAAATGACATCACAATTACTCAGGGCTCAGGTAACAATAAATCATAGCTCATCATCAGAAAACAGGTGAGCTGTGATTGATCATTGAAAGTGCCCCTCATGTGCCAAATTATCATCTTTCCTATGTGTGTGTGTGTGTGTGTGTGTGTGTGTTGTTTTTAAAAAATTTTGAAGACCAGGCATTTGCCACAAATCATTCTTAGAGCGCAACAATTATCTTAAATAAGGGCAGAGATGAGAATATCTTGCTTCTCTCAAATCTGTAGCCTAGTATGGTCTGTGGTTCATGTAACTCTGTCGCTGCTGTCCCTGCTGTTTCTGCCTTTTTAGATCTCATTCATGGAGGACAAACTTTACATCACTCTGTTTACAATTAAGCTTACGTATGTATATACTTATTTTTTGAAATAACAGAAATATTTTGGAAAACATGACTAATAACTGAACATTTTCAGAATATGCTATTCTGAAATGCCTCCTGGTTTATGTCAAAGGCTATTAAAAATGGGCTTGTCATGTTTTTTTTTTTTTTTTTTTTAAGAATGGCACATATTTAAAAATTCTGCAATGGTATGTACATTTGTCTTTACACTGTTTCATCATTGCTGTTGAAAAAAGGTAACAATAGCATTTTGATAAAGTAAGGAGTAAACACGCCTTATTGCATGAACTGATGAAGCCCTCTCAGATGAGAGGCGAAACATCATCTCAGACAACCGGAGCAGTCCAGTTGCTGTCAATTCAATGTCCTGAGAAAGAAATGACCTGGATGAATGAGAATATCCACAACCTTAAGGAGTAAGAAGTGCATACTGTATCTCCATTTTCAAATGGAATAAGTAAAAATAAAAGTCAATCTAAAAAGACTTAGGTACAGCATGCAAAACCTGCTCAAGTACAGCAATTAAGTGTTTGTACATCAGTACTCAGAGTAGATACCTGGAAAATGAAGCTCAGGAAAAAAGTATTCATTCCTAGTTACTGAAGTAGATAGCTGAACGATATACTTACCCACAGTATCGTAGCATTCGTACGAATTACGAATAGTGCAAAAGCTAAATACAGTAACGAAGTATTTGTACCGCGTTACTTCCCACCACGCGAGTATTTCTCTCCATTCAAAGTGATCCGACATTTGGAAGGATGTAAAGGTTCATCGGAGGAAAGAAGTGAGGGTGACACCAGCCGGTTGGCTGCGCTGTGCGCTCACGCACAAAATGCCGGCCGCGCGCCCCACAATGCGCGTGCACAAGCCTTCCGGTCTATCCAAGTCGGTACAACGACTTGACTTGTCGCTTGCAAACTTAGAAAAAGCACGTGGAAATTCACGCTTCATAAGAGCCCCTGCGCCTCCCACGTTTTGGATTCAAATCGGCTTTGAAGGCGGCGTGATGTAGTGGTACTCACCTTCGGTTTCTCATCAGCCATGGTCACTCTTTTGGCGCTTTCTCTTTGCTGCCACACAAAGAACACGGGAACGCGCACGTGCTCGTTCCCGCTAAAAGTTTCCAAACCCTGCGTGCGCGGCCCCGAGCCGGTGCGCGCACGAGACAGTGAGCGCCAATTGGCCGCTGGAGGTCACGAGGGTGGACGCCAGACCAAGCGTGGGCGGGAGAGTAAAGATGCGCGTTACAGAGACTCTCGGCCCCGCGTGAGCGCGCATGTCGTTGTAATTCTTTTGTTGGCTTTTAGATTGCGGTAAATGCACCAAATCAAAGCGCAAATAAACACAAGACCCACTCTGTTCGAACGAATGTCGCATGTAACACCCTCTTTGTTAGCCGCCTACGTACAAACGGCCATCGTATGTTCGTCATTTTTGTGTTCAAAATCCTTTACTTCTGTACAAAATGGAATGCCCTACAATTTCCGGTGCGGTAACTGTAATCCCCTAACGTAGTTTTGACCATTTATCAGTAAAAACAGGGCAGATTACCTACGAAGCGAAGGCAGATGGAAAATCAGGCACGAGAACGGGCAGCTCTGCGATGACGTCATCAGGCGGCAATACGGGGACCTTTCACTGGATGGCTGGCGCGCGCTAAACCATCACATTTGTAGTTCATTTATACGTATTTATCACAATATATTCGCTATTTCACATTTTATTGTATTGGCGATATTATTCCGCGATGGAGGAGGTCGACGTTGACCCGACAATTACAGTAAGATACTTAACTCTCAGTTTCTCTCGCAATTTTCTCGCTAAAAACGCCAGACGTAAACCTCCAGCCAAACCTTTCCAACTATGCACCGCACAAAATATGTTTTATTGAGTGCTGGTTCATGTTAAGAGATGGCAAGTGCCTGTTGCCCTTGTGTTCATGTCATGACTTTTGTTTTCTCACAGAATATTCCAATATCCAGTCATGGGAAACATTTGGGTTTTGCCTGTGGTCCGGGAGATATCCTCGTGTATGAGACCCTTTACAAGCAATCTGGTGTGTATTCAGTAGATTTGAGAGAGTCTACTCACCTCAATCACATCCCAAGTCGTGTTAAATGGCAGTTAGTGTAAACGGATAAATTAATTCAACAAATATTCTGGGACTCTTGCGAATATAAATGCTCAGCGTTGCCAGAAATTCTGCTAGGGGTAACCTCTACCTACTTGCTTGTGCCCTCGGTTCGCAGGCGCTTCGGGGTCGTGCAGCTCCTTCATCCATGAGGTCAGGAAAGACGAGGAAATTCACTCTCCCATTCTACGCAAACTCTTCAACGAGTCACACCACATCTTTGTTGGCCTTCAGACAATCCAAGAGGAAATCCCCAGCAAGAACAAGAAGTCCCAGTAAGTTCAACTCAAGACTTAACCAGTTCACATTTAATCATTCCGTCAAACACGTTTTGTTTCTCTTTAGATTTGTCAGCATTAGTAAAAATTATAGATCTGTAATACGGGCCTGTATAGAAGAGCTTCAACAAGTTGCAGGTCTGTATTTTCTTACTACGATTATGGATTGTTACCAGCTCTTCAGTAATATCTTATGTTTTTTTATAATCTCTTTTTTTTTTTATTAGTTAATACCAAAGACTCTGCGGTGTGCACACAATATGGAAATCAGGTGTGTACTTTTTTCATTCACTATGATTCAGAACATTTGTTAAATAAACAAAATACCAGAAAAAGTGTAATTACTATTTGATCTGCATTTGCATGACAATTTACCTTTTTGTTCCGTTTAAACAGGTGTCAATCCTGTTGGCCATTGAACTGATCTGGAATCTTTGTGAAGTCCTCTTCATTGACGCTGGTCAGTGTCACTGTGCACTGATTTATTTTCTACCCTTTTCGGAGTTCACAGCCAGCCTTTCTGCCGTTTCTGCTCGTGTCCTTAGTGGGCGCCCTGTTGCTCCACCTGCTAGACTGGGTGAGATTACACAAGGGCGACGTGGACGAGAAGGCGACGCACGTGCTGCAAAGCGAGAGTCCCGCCGAACACCGCGACTACTGGGACGTGGTAGGTAATGGGCACACGCTGTTTGTGAATTCACGTCCATTCATGATGCTATTGTGTTGCACAGGTGGTGGGCTATGTGCTGCAGGGCCGCTTGGAAGAAGTCAGACAGTTGCTGGTGAAGCAGGCCACTCTCCAACCTGCTGCCAGGAATATGTTCAAGCTGATGGACAACCTGCTTAGCAAGATGCCCTTCTATAATGTAAGATCTTGTTTTGTGTCCTGTTATGACTGTGAAAAGCGCAGACAGTAAGCCTGTATTGGACTGAGCACTGCCACGAACAGTGGAAAACAGGAGTGATTGACGCCCTCTCTAAAAATGTTTATAAGCAAGTTTGGGAGTCGGGATGGGTACCAAGCCCCGCTACTAAACTGACCTCGGGGGTGAATTTTTCAAAAATGCAGGATCGATAAGCGCTACCCTTAGCAGTTCTTTTTACGGTCTTGGAGAAATTACTCATATTACTTTTTGATTTTTTTTTTTTTTTGGGGGCTATATTCTTTCATTCATTTTCCGATCCGCTTGCACTGTGAGGTTAACGCGCTAACCACTGGACCACCCGGACGCCTTTTTAGGCTATATTAATGTTATATTTGGCATCTTCTGCCTCCCTGATCTCATTTCTACCTGGCAATAAAATCAATATGTTTGTTCAAGAAGATGCATCTTCACAATTGGATGCGATTGGAGGTCCTCTTACCCACTGCAGCGCTGTGCACGAAGTGCACTTGTGACTCCTTCCTGTGCCACTGTAGTGCTGTGTAATCAGACAATGACCTTGATACATTGCATTATGTAAATATGTCCATAACCATAAATATTACAAATGACCTATTTTAGGTGGGAAAATATTTACTTACAAGGTGTGGATGGAAGGCTCGCCAGCTCACTCGCTCCCTCATAGAAGACGTCACCAGCAGTCCTCTTCGTGAATATGATCCAAACAGTCACTCTCCAGTCCCAACACAATGCCAACATATTCAGAGGCATGTCATTGGCTTAAAAGGCCAACAAAAACTTTACCCGAGGACAAGCAATGACGGTTACATTTTGTTGAAATCCTGAACTGAATACGTAACGCCGGTGCATGTGTTCTGTGCATATAGCTAACATAATAACTACATGCACACTTTTTTGCGTTACTCGGCCATTAAAAAAATGTGGTGGGGCGAATTTGGCAACCAAGCTGTAATGCGGCACAACTGCCATTGAAATAAATGCGAAAATTGTCAATCTTCAACCTTCAGCCCGGTGGTACCCAGACACCGACAGATTTTGACGTCAAGTGGAGACATTGGCACGAAGAAGTGGACCGCTGCCTCCAGGACAACTCTTTTGCCAGCAACCCACACCTAGAACTCATAGCCAAGGTAAGATTGCCCTCGGCACAGTGCATTTCATAAAGTGTAATTACTGTTTGTACATTAATATTCATGTTTTTGGCTGTATGCCTTTCAAAGTCAATTCTTTTCAGTTGAATTTCCTGTCATTTTTAGATCTTAGTGGGAGATGAAGACACTTTGCTGGAACATAAAGAACTTGTGGGCACCTGGTACCACTTCCTGGTCACAAGGCTCCTCTATTGCCACCCCACCGTCAAATCCACTGAGCTGCATTTCTACGCCCATGTACAGTCACGACAGCACCAGCGTTTTCTGCTCACGCCACTTTCGAATAATCTCTGCTGTCTAACGTGTTTGTGTGCTCTGTGCAGTCATGCATGACCATGTTTCTGGACCCCAGGAGCGTGCCAGAAGCCCTGGACAGCATCTTACTTGCCGCTTTTGAATTTGACATCCACCAGGTCATCAAGGACTGCAGGTAGTGCTGATTCATGGAACTCGCCGTGTGTTGGCAATCACTCCTAAATCACGATATACAGGAGTCATCTCATGATTTATGTAGTCAGGTGGCCATTTTGACAGGGTTCCCACGGGTCCTTAAAGTGCATAAAAATCCATAAAAAAGAAGTTATGTTCTTAATTGTCCTTAGTTTTCAGGGAAAGCTTCTAAAATCAATAAAAATCCTTTAAAAAAATATTTTTATTCGAAAATAAATTGAAGTTATACATTTTCGAAATTTAATTAAATTTTTCTTCGTGTACTTTATTTGAGAATGACGTTTTTTTTTTCATTTTCCTACCTGTAATACTGGTAGGAAGATGAAAATTTGACATACAGTATGTCAAATAAAGGGTTAGCCGATTGCCCCTAAAAATAAAGATGTGCCCTTCCTTTGGCAGCAATGATTTGAACACCAGCTCAGTGATATGTGGCTTTCTGTTCAGCCCGCAATTGCTGAGCGGGCATTAAATCCACCGGGAATCCCCTGCTAAATAGAGGAAAAGTCCTTAAAAATGGCTAAATTAGCCCTCAAAAGTCCTTAAAAGGTCCAGAAATAAAAAGCAAGTGGAAGAGTGGGAACCCTGTTTGATATGCTGTTTCAATGTGATGTGACTATAGGTTAGCCCTCTATTTAGCGCCCTCAGTGTATCCCACAACACATCTTGAGAAGTCAGAAACGGAACACAGCCACATTGTTGTTGCTCAATCCTCCCTCCTTGTGTGTCCCCCTCAGCATTGCCCTCAACAATTGGTGGTTCGTGGCCCATCTGACGGATCTACTTGATCACTGTCAGCTCCTTCAGTCTCACAATCTGCAGTAAGTACCGTAACTAGCAACGAGACGTGTCGCATCAAGTGACATTTGACGCAAAGATGCATCAGAGCTGCCTTTTTTGTCTTTTTAGCTTTGGCTCCAACTTGAGAGAGTTTCTGCTGTTGGAATATGCATCCGGTCTCTTCAGTCACCACAGGTGGAGGCTTTTTTATTCTTACCTCACGGACTGCCAGCCGCTTTCAAAGCAGAGTCCCTCATATTGTCAGCCATTTTAGAACATATTGGCGGATTTTTCAAGACACACTGAGTCTGTCGCGGTATAAGCCTCAAACCTCCCAAAAGAAACAGATTTTTCCTTCACCAGACAAAACATGCGTTGCCTTTTCTGTTCTTCAATCGGCATTAGAACTTGGGTTGGTTTAAAAAAAATGGTTTCTGACTACAAAGTGGAGACCTTTTGTGAAAGGAAATGTCAAACTGAAAAACAAAAACAAGACTGAGAAAAGGCTTTTGATGGGTTGAATGACTTTTTTTTTCCCCTCTCAACAGATACAACTAAAATACCATTATACTACCGAAGTTACTCTTATTTTTTTTTTCCCCCTTTCACTCAAGCTGCTGCACTTCTGAAGCTTGCTCGTAACTTCAATTTTGGCTAGCAGCACAAAGCAAACAATTGAAAATTCATCCATTCTATTTTCCCTTTTCAGATGGATTTTCCCCAACATGCTTTGAGTCTTACCCCAAGTGCATTCTTGTGTTCAGTCTGTGGCAGTTGGCCGTGGACTACTTTGACCACTGCCCGGAGTTTGGCCGCGTCTACTTGGAACTGCAGATGGAGCGCATCCCCTTAGACACGGAGCGCAAAGCCCTCAAGGTGCTCAGGATCTGTGAGCAAAGGCAGATGTCGGAGCAAGGTAGCACCTTTTTTTGACGTTCCTTCTCCCATTTACAAGACGCTTTTGTCGTTTGCAATGCATAAAAAGCAGCGATCCTCAGGGGTACATTAGCTACCTCTATTGGTGTGTGGAAATTTTGTTCTGTTCTTACGCAGTGCGTAGTATTTGTAAGATCATGGCCATGCGCGCTCTGAGGAACAACAGACTGGGTTCCGCCCTCTCCTGGAGCATCAGAGCCAAAGACGCTGCCTTCGCCACCTTAATTTCAGAAAGGTTTGTTTGTGCCTCAAGAGGACGCTTGGAGAAAATGTCGAGATTGCAATCAACCCATCCAATCAGCCGCTGTATATGTTTGTGTTCAGGTTTTTACAGGATTACTGTTCCAGAGGGTCCTTTTCCGATCTGGACCTCATAGACAATTTAGGTCCGGCCATGCTGCTGAGTGACAGGCTCACTTTTCTCGGTAAGCAACAAGTACACAAATAGACAGTTAGATGTGGTTTTGATTGGCATCACTATCAGTCCATGTGCATATTTGCTCTTGTCTTACTTCTTCTTACGTAGGTACTCACTTCTTTGTTTCCCTCCCTACTGACTTTCTGCTCCCGTTCGCTGGATCGCCATTCACATTTAAAAATTTTTTTTTTTTTTTTTAAGGGAAGTACCGTGAGTTCCACAAGTTGTACGGAGAGAAGCGCTTCAGGGAGGCGGCCAAGCTTCTCCTCTCCTTGATGACCGCCAAGATCGCGCCCAGGAGCTTCTGGATGACGCTACTGACTGATGCCCTGCCGCTGCTTGAGCAAAAAGAGGTTTGTAAGGCAAAGCATTTTAAATACAAGATGGCTTTCAAAAGAGGTGGAACATATTGGTGGCTTTGGGCGAAACGCTCATGCTATGGTGACCCGCAAGGAGACATTCACCAGAAAACTGTAGAATTGGAAGGGGTCAAGGAGAGTAGCTTGCTCTTTGATCGGTGAACAATTTGCAAAGACACATGACTTGCCTTCATTTCATCATTACTGCATCCCCTACAGTACCCCCAAAATTCTCACATTTCAGCCCCCCCCCCCCCAAAAAAAAAGGACTTCAACCATTCACTGCACCGTCAAAGAATGCAAGCAAATTGGCCACTAACACGTGAATATTACTGATGTGTCCCAAAAAAAATCCCAAATTGTGACAGGTTTTGGCCAAATGTCAGCGATATGCAAAACATGTCTTCCACAGATATTTTTCAAAATAAAAGCTAACCTTTCTTTTGTAAATTCAGTTTCATTCTCTGAAATTACCGTTGGTTCCCATCGATGGTTTCCGACTTTGAAAATTCCCACATCCCTAGCTGTGCGCGAGCTTCAGAGAGGCCGGCGCTATCGATGGGGGGCAGAGAACGGCACAAACTCAACCCAGCATTCCGTGTCTCACTCGGGCTTTGAAACTCTGTGCAAACGGAACTAAATCAATTGATGTAATGGTTAGTGTTGATGCATTTCAGGTCATCTTCACATCAGAGCAAACCTACGAGCTCATCTTTTGTTTGGAGGAACTCACCTCCTCCTGCAACACCACCACCGCCACCACCACTGCCGCCGCTTCCATGACCGACACCCCCATGCAGGTACACATCTCTTCAATGTGTCGAATTTTAACACCATTCCATGTTTAAAATTTGGACATATATTCTTTCTCATTTGCGTCTTTGCTATTCGAGGAGGAAGACCTGGAGGTGACCAAAGTGGAGCTCCTGAGACTCGCCCTGGCCAGGAACTTGGCCATGGCCATCGTCAACGAAGGCACAGTCGAAGTGTGAACTCTCAGCATGCGCAGCAACTCTTTTCTACTGTTTATAATCCTTTCCAATAAAAATCTCATTTTCGAGAATGAACCCGGTGGTACTTCTTCAATGACACATCAGCTTCCATTCACACAAAAATCTTTATTTCATGCAGCAGACAAACTAAATGTACAAATGTAAATGTCACGTATTCACAAACGACGATACAGTAGTTCTGAAGTATGTACACTTAAACTCGCTTCTGTACATCTCATATGCAAATGAGGCTGATGAGTCAGCACCATGACGCGGTTTCATGGCTGAATATTTTTAAATTCATGTCCATATATTTTATTTCACATTATCAAGGTTCAGTGTTGTTAACTGACAGTAAAACGCACTGCAAGTATAGTGAAACCCCTGCTAGTAGTGAGGGTTTATAACTGCTTCTAGATGCCACAACATGGCGACAAAGCACAACTGTTGCCAAAAAGGAAGCTCATCTACTCACTTCAACATAGTTCCTTGGCACCAAGATGCCACGAGACAGCCAAGCAATCTGCCAAACTGAATCCGCAGGGGATCACCGTACTCCCCGATACTAGGAATAGTTAAGGAAAAATTATCATCCAAATGAGAACAAACTTAAATAACAAGCGTCAAATGAAACAAAAGCTGCGTTACAACTTAAGTCATTTGGTTATTAGAAAGTGTAATCCTTCTACAGTGACAAATATCAAACAATATTTTTAAAAGCAAAAATATTTGCCACATTGACATTTGTCTAAACAGTAAATAAATGCTCAAATGCCGAGGAACCGATTTATGTAACACTCATTTTCGAGTTACAAATCTGAAAATGTGCTAATTTTTGTCCCCCGTTCAAATGTAATGCAGTCAAGATCAAAAGTCATGAAGGGGAAAAAAAACAACTTGGATATTTAGGAGAATTATTTAGGATATTAGATATTTAGGATACTGTATTAGAAGAAAATGTACACATTTTGGTTTTAAATAAGTTTGTGACATTCTTTCATTGCAATACCCCAAAGATCAAGACTGACCCTTTTGGAGCACTCAAAAGTCAAGGTACACTGTACTTGCATACAAGCAATTAAAAAGTCAATTTTCCTTCATATGTCCCCTTTAAATATGACTGTTTTCAACCGATTTATGTAACACTCATTTTCGAGTTACAAATCTGAAAATGTGCTAATTTTTGTCCCCCGTTCAAATGTAATGCAGTCAAGATCAAAAGTCATGAAGGGGAAAAAAAACAACTTGGATATTTAGGAGAATTATTTAGGATATTAGATATTTAGGATACTGTATTAGAAGAAAATGTACACATTTTGGTTTTAAATAAGTTTGTGACATTCTTTCATTGCAATACCCCAAAGATCAAGACTGACCCTTTTGGAGCACTCAAAAGTCAAGGTACACTGTACTTGCATACAAGCAATTAAAAAGTCAATTTTCCTTCATATGTCCCCTTTAAATATGACTGTTTTCATATCAGTGCTTATCTTTAGTTACCTGCAAAAAAAAAAAAAACAAACAAAACGCAAAAGCTATACCTAAATAAAACCAAGTATCACTAAACCAACTAAAACGTTGAGTTGTTCCAACTGTCTTTATGCTGTGATGATAGGTCTCTTCGTAAAGACTGGAGTTTCCTTGGTGAAGTGTGTGCACGTGTGTTTTTATAAGTGCCCCCACGCCTCAGGCGATGGGAACTGGTCCACCTCCCCCACCTCGTTGCACAGTACATCCCCAAGCGTGAACGCCAGCTTGTAGCGCAGGCGAACCTTTTCCTGAAAATACGCGAACAACTTGCGTCAGCAAAAAATGGAGCTAGTGTGAGCCTCTCTGTATTGGCGAGTAATGTGACATTGGCGCGTGTGGGGTTGACTCACCTTTGTTGGATTGGCTAGCAGCATGATCTGCGTAATGGAGGCCGGAGGTAGGATGGGGTTAAACGCGGCCAATTCTGTTCCTGAAGGAGGCTGTAGCTTCACCTTCATTGACTGGAACAGGAGGAGAAAAAAAAGATGGTTCACTGAAAAGAAAAAAAAAAACCACTTTCGGTGCTTTAAGATTATGTGTTGTATGCAAAAATTTTGCCATATTTGGCCTTCGGGTGAAATTTCTGGATGAACCCAAAATGAACGACAGCAAATCGCCCCTACATGTTTAGAATTGGGTATTGATAACAATAGATGAGACCATATCACTACTTTTATATTCGCAGAAGCTCCTTCCTTCACTTCAAAAATAGTTTCTTGGCAACACGATGCCAGAACATGGCGCCACAGCACTACTTTTGTTAGGTAGGGCTTAGGCGCCATCTTGTGGCATTTTAGGACATTTCAAAAAAAGTACAAAAGCAGCAAAAGTTTTTCAGTGAATCATGAACGATTGGTTCTCTAAATTGTCACTAGGTGTAATTGTGAGCGCGGTTGTTTGTTTGTCTATGTGTGCCCTGCGATTGGCTGACAACCAGTTCAGGATGTACCCCGCCTGCCGCACGAAGTCAGCTGGGATTGGCTCCAGCATGCCCGCAACCCTTGTGAGGTTAAGCGAATTAGAAAATGGATGAATGGATAGGTTAAAAAAAAAACATCTGTGAATAGGCGAACACATTATAGAAAAAATTATATAAAACGTCGCCAGTCCACACAAGTGTATTACTTTTGGTACAGCAGCTTGCAGTACCACCCCATGAACAGGGAGTGGCGCTGTGTTAAGCATGGACACCACCATGACCAACACGTCAGGCCTGCCAGGGGGAGAATCGGAAGCAAAGTTGAGCAGAACCCGAACACCGTCCTTGTCGTAGGCGGTAACCGGCAGCACTTTACCTACAATAAGAAGGGCACGTTAGCCAGTCGGAAGCCAGCGGATATGACAAACAGCTAATGAGATGCAAAAATCGTTAGCGAAACTTTCCATGGCAATTCACGTCAATTTTCCCAAAGTGAATGTGAACTTGAGTATTGTTTGGGAAAAAAATATATTTGAGCGTAATCCTCACTGGGTCTGATGGCGTCCAGAGGAACGTGTACGTTGCTTAGGGACATCTGCGCAGTTCTGGCGGGGCTTCCCTGGACGGCAGGGTGGGCCGGGGACAGGGAGCGGAATAGCGGGCTACCCGGGACGGAGGCCAGGTTCTGGGCTTTGGCGTGGCTCAGGGCAGGAGAGACGGGCAGAGCACCCTGGATGAGAGATGCTGGAGAGGGGGAGCTCGACCCGGCCGCGGGGGGAGGAACCACCGTGGGTCCCCCAAAACTTCCCATTGGCGTGCCACTGGAAAATGTGCAAAGTCACACTATATATTCAGCACTGTTTGATATAATAAAATATCTTCAAATTGCTACTAATAAAGTCGTAAAAATACTTTTATAATATTGTAGTAAAAATATGATTATCTCCATTTTATTGGAGGCTATATTCTAAGAATCAGGAAATAATGTGGCCTTTACACAAAAAGTAAACTGACTCAAAATGAAAAGCGTTTCAAGCAATTCTCTATGGTACATTTAAAATAGCCTGTTGTTACGTTTTAATTTAAATGTATACTTCCATGAACTAGAACCAAAGTAGAATGCTGATGTTAAGCTCAAAATTAATCGTTACACCGCTCAACAAATTTTTGCAGACGCACGTAAACTAGATGAATTTTTTTTTTTTGCACAGATTCCGAATCCGCCCTTTTTTCTTCTTTCTTAGCATCAGGCTATCATACTAATATTATAACAATATGTACCACAGTGTTATATTTAACAATACTTATGAATGAAGGGTTAGCTTCAGCAACATGCGGAATTTTTTATTTATTTATTTTTTTACGAAACGCCAGCGATAAATTCTAATGCATGGTCAAATCCGTATTGCACAAGCTTTTCCTAAAAAAAAAAAAAAAAGTAAAGACATTTTTTAAATGAGTGTCAAAAATACATTTCAGGACCCATAAAGCCATCTCTTGATCATAATTTGCTGTTGACCAGTGTTATTTACTATTTTACTCTACAAAGTTAAAGTGGCAATATTACCAGAATTAAAATAGAAATATGACCCAAAATCCTTTAAATACTTTACAACTTCCAACAAAAAAGCGGTGTTTTATGAGAATAGTGTGGTAATCGCAAAAGGGACAAAAAAACTTCATTTCCACAATAAAAAAAGTTAAATAAGTCTGAATAAAATAGACACAGAAATAAAAAGTTGTCGTTTTTTTTTTTTTAACACAATTTTAGGAGTTTTAAAAACAAACATAATAAAGCAGTACTTCTTAGTATGGCACCTCTTATGATTGGGGAAGCCCATGAGAGCCAGGTCTTGAAGGTTCTGGAGTGAGGGAAAGTCAGGTTCTGCTGGGGGCAAGAATGCAGCTGGACCGCCAAACAAATCCGTACTTGTCGCAGGGGCCTGAAGACAGATAAAAGCCTCTGAGCATTCGTTCTGCATACTTTTTTCCTTACTAGGAAGGCAAGTCAGCGCGCCAGTACAACAACCGTGTCTTACTCATCAAAGGGTTTGTTGCACGAAACAAGCCTGGTTAAGTGTTTCAAGGGCAGCACAGTCGCTGACGAGTAAGCTACTTGTAGACTGGAAGGGCCAAAGTGGCATGAGTAATGGTAAAAAAATGTTCAGAGTGAATCCCGGTTGTTCTCCTAGTGCACTGTCAAGTGAGGACAAAGAGTAGACTAGTACAGGACCACCATCATCTCCTATTGTGTGCTTAAGCTAACCAGAGTACTTGTGACTCATCAAGATATTGTACCTGCAAGGAACTCCACTGATTGGATGCCTTGTTTGGATTTGCTTTGGACTGGTTGCTCAGTAATGCGGGGTGGTCATCAGTTAGTCCTGCGGGATGTACAAAATGCTTTTATTTACATTTTTTTTTTGGCTTTGTACTCAAGGGAAGTATTTGAGTGAGTACCTAATGACAGCAGCTCATGATCAAGAAGCGAGAGTGCGTCGGAGGCCGCGTCAGGCGGAGGGTGACCCGGGCTGCCGCACAGAGCGGCCAGCGGGCCCGGCAGCTGATTGGGAGGCGGCGGCAGGGCCGGGAAGGATGAGTCGCCCAAGATGTCGGAGAGAGCGCCCGACAGCGGGACGGGGGCCGGCGCCACCGCCGCTGGCCCAGGAAGACTCGGCGGGTCCGTGACGGTCAAGTCGATGAGTGTGTCGGTTGTCTCTGGCAGATCTGGGGGACAAACACGGTAAGATGTGGATGGCTTGAGAGTGCAGGTGTGTTTTTTTTTTCTATGGTCCATGTTTGTGTGTGCGTGCACTTTTGAGTGTTTTTTTACACGTGGGTGTGTTGGTTGTTGATTGTCCTTTGTGTGTGCCGTGCGTTTGTGTGTTTAGTGTATGCTTGTGTGTGCTGGAGTGGAAATTTTATCATTTACGGCACAGGTGTCAAAGTCAAGGCCCGGGGGCCAGATCTGGCCCACCACATCATTTTACGTGGCCCTCGAAAGCAAATCAAGCGTGTCAAGTTCCATGATGCTTGCTAAAGTCTGAACCAAAATTTCAAATTGTCACATGTAATCCACAATAACAGTCATTATTCTTGACTTCTGATTTTAAAACTAGTTATCCATCCATTTGTTGTGCACTGTGTATGTAATATGTGGAGGTGATTAAACATTTACATGGTTTCCCAAAATTCGTAACGACCCTCCAAAGGAAACCGTAACTACAATGTGGCCCGCGACAAAAATGAGTTTGACACCCCTGATTTACGGCGTTAACTTGTATCACGTTATCCCGCTATCTGTAAGCGTTGCTATGCAAGCTCGTTGCCGTGCAAGTTTGTGGTTTTCCTGTGCTTTTGACACCGTAGATGCAAAAACAGGATGAGCTGCAAACAGATGTCAAGACGGACGCACCCTCCCCATCTGACGCTCATGTTTTTGAACGGTCGAATGTGTATGACCGATGACAATTAAGTATTGCATCATGTAACCATATTGGCAACGCGTTGAAAGTTTGTTTTACACTTTGACATACAGTTTAAGAAAAAAAATTGTATTGCTTGGGCAGCCGCTCCATCACAGATCTGTGAATGGTGTTTTCTCCATGAACTGTAACTGAAATAAATGTGTATATTTTTTTGTTGTTATGTATTTGTGTGTGTGTTCGCGCTGAATTCTCTGACCGCTGCGTGTGTGTCCACGAGGCTCCTGGCTGTCTCCGTTGACAGCCAACCCCTCCACTATTTTCTTGTAGGAGTTGATGACTCTGGAAAGGTCGTCGCTAGCCTGCAGGATGTCACCTGAGCATAATAAGCCATTCATTCATTCTTCGTTAAGAATTTATCGATTGTGTGGAATTGATGATTGGTTCATTACGTGGAGCGCATCACTTGACTGAGTCTCAACTCGATTTCTGCACTTCCATCAGATAAAAATAAATAAATAAATAAATCGACAAACCTAAACTGGTGTCGTTGTCCTCTGCCTCAGTGGCCATTTTGAAAGCGGCCCGTCTCAGCTGATCACAGCGATCGCACAGTTCCTAAGGCAGCGAAGAACGATTTTTTTTTTTTCCGAGCAACGCTTTTCGGTCTAACTGTGACACATTTGATTCAAAACACCGACCTTCATAATCTCCTTGTCGGACTCCGATGAGGCGTCTTTGTCGTAGTGGGAGAGCATCTCGGACAAGAGCTTGACGTTGATGTTGACCTCCTCCAGCGTGTTGTTGCGCTTTGACACCTTCTGCACGCGCACCTCATCCTGGGGGGAGTAAAAAGAATAAGATGCTCACCAGCCTGCCTGGTAACAAAACAGTGTTTCTCAAACCTTTATTCATCCAAGGCGACTTGATTGTTAAACCCCCCCGGCACACCACCAAACATAAATGTCACAATATGCACGAATAGTGAAATAATAGTGAGGATGATGTGGAATCAGCGGCCCGGTGGGCCAGTGGTTCGCGCGTCGACCTCACAGTGCAGAGGTACCGGGTTCAATTCCAGCTCCGGCCTCCCTGTGTGGAGTTTGCATGTTCTCCCCGGGCCTGTGTGGGTTTTCTCCGGGTACTCCGGTTTCCTCCCACATTCCAAAAACATGCATGGCAGGCTGATTGAACACTCTAAATTGTCCCTCGGTGTGAGTGTGTGCGTGGATTGTTGTTTGTCTCTGTGTGCCCTGCGATTGGCTGGCAACCCGTTCAGGGTGTTCCCAGCCTACTGCCCCAAGACAGCTGGGATAGGCTACAGCACCCCCCGCGACCCTTGTGAGGATTAAGCGGATCGGAAAATGGATGGATGTGGAATCAATTAGATATACTATGTCAAGTCTTTCCATCTCTGGCTGTTACCACGGTAACCAGGTTTCACGTCCAGTTTGGCGGTACATAAACACTAAGATAATGACATGTAACATTTCAAAAATAAAATATTCCGCTATGTGACAAGACTGGGAAGTGTCTCACCTCTTTCACCATATTTTTGATTAACCTGTTGGCCTCCTGGAGGTCTTCTGGGTTTTTGCTGCGGAGAAGCTCAGCAAGGAGCTGCGGACATTGCATTCAAGCAAACACAAACAAGGCTTGTTTGGAAATACATCCGACAAGTTTGTACAAATCTTCACTGCTGAAAACATGCGCGACAACTACACCGTACTCACTCCACCACCAACACTGTCCCAAAACCCGAATGACATTCCCCCCTCAAAAAAAAAAAAAAAAAACCCTTGCAGACCTTCCCCATGTCCTCGTTGTCGAACACTGGGTGTTTCGGCCGTGTGGGCGGAGAGGGAATCAAAGTCCGGTCCGGCGGCAACTCTGGATCTCGGGTCACCAGCCCTGTGGGAAGAGTGTTGGCATAAACAAAGACAGGAAGAGGGAAAAAAAAAATGCTGATCCAAAATCATGCCAAAGCAAACCTTGTCTTCTCAGTGTTTGGTAGGCTTCATTTATCTTGGGCTCATTGGGGAAGGCGACGGTCCAGCTGTACAGCATTTCAACAATCTTTCTCTTCACCTTCTCAGGTGCACTGTCGCCCATGTACTGCAAATCGACAAAATGGAGCACGCAATCAGCCACTGTTTATTTTTTTGTCATAGGTTTTGACAGGTGTGTCAGGATTTAGAGTTGCAGCATAATCAAGAAGAGGCAGTGAAGATTCCCAACGCAGCTCTATTGATCGTCATCTTTCCCAAACAGTAGAGAGAATATTTGTATTCTACTATACAGCACTGTTTGTTAAAGTATCAGTTATTTGAAGGTTTAGAATTACTTTACCATTGAGGCTAATGTCGGTTAGCCCATCTATGGCGTTTCACATTATACAGCTCCGGAAAAATTAAGACGAAAAAGCCAGTTGATGAGTTTCTCTGATTTTGATGTTTGTTTTTCTTTCATTCTTTACTGACAACATCACTCGCAATAGAGGTAAGATCGGGCGGCCCGAGCCAGAGCCCGACCTGAGTCGGGCCTAAAATGTCAATCATTGCTTCGGGTTTGGGTCGGGTCGGGCCGGGCTTCTCTCTCGCTGACTTTTTTTTTTTTTAATAAATATACCGTATGTTTAGTGCGCTGAGGCTTTTCGAGGCCGTGAATAGTTTTGCCCACGAGAGACCGTGGTTCCCAAAAAAACAGAAGTCGCCTCATCACAACACATACTGTACTAAACTCTTGCAACTCTTAAAAAAAATCTGTCAATGATGGAAAATTGTCGGTTAATGTACCCTCTTCAGAAACAGAAATATAAAAGATGTAAATGTTTATACAGTCTTGTTTAACTTTGATTTCGTTACAAAAGACAGGCTTTAATTTGTTATCATAAATCACCCCTCCTCCTCCCGAGTCCTCACAAATAAAATGAAATTTCGGGTTTGCTTCGGGCTCGGGCCTGCAAATCAAGTTAATTGGTCGGGCTCGGGCCGGGTCGGGCTTTAATACCCGCGGGCCGGGTCGGGCTGGATTTTTTAGGCCCGATCGTACCTCTAACTCCCAATTACAAATACAATCAAACCTCAGTTTTCTCACCAAATTGGATTTCGACCAGAAAATTCGAGATTTTTACGCCTCGGATTACGACCGAAAACCGGTTTAGACCAAACTGAGCATACCCGAATACGCCACTCAACTCCTCTCGGCTTCTTTCAACGTTCATTGTGAGCAGACGTGTTTGTTGTGATTTACGCAAATCTGACTGTTTTTATGTTATTTCTGCATAGTGTATTAGCCCCTAAAATAAATAATAAATGGTCAAAAACTTCACATATGTCAATACTGTATTGAAATATACAATGTGTAATGCTCTTTTATTTTGTGTGTCAGTTTTACGTTAAACTTCATGGCGGAAGTGACAAAGAGCTTGAAGTGAGTAGGCTTTGCCTCATATTTGGAGAGCTGTGCAGGCAAGCCATCTTTTCATTTCCTTAAAGTGAAGTAATACGGCGGTCTACTGTTTCTTGACAGTGTGTGAGAAAAGGCGCGAAGGAAAACTCCTTAAAGTGTTGAAATAGGTTTAGATGTGTTTGAACTGTATGGGAGGGGCAATACTACTAAACACATTTTATGTTTTTGTTCAATGGTCCCTTTATTTATTATTTATTTCCGCTTCGCGCTCTCAGGACCGGATTGGATTATCCGAGATAAACGGAGGGCACTGTACGGCACTTAAGACAACTTACCTTTGGAGACACAACTTTAATCAGCTCGTTTAAAAATCGGTATTTCCCAACTTCGTTATGAAACCTGCTCCCACAGTTCTTCATGCACGCCTCTAACACCTACGCACACAATCAATAAATTCACACAGATCAAGTTGTTTCTGCTACAATGAAGATTTTTTTCTTTCTTCTTACTGTAAGTGCCTGAAGAGCTTCCCATTCTTGTGGTGAGTGGATCTTATGGACCAGTAGTGGGATTGCAATTTGGGGGCTGCAAAAGAAAATTCCAAATGATATTTTTCCCCTAAGGGATGATGATAATAATAATAATAACAATAATAATAATAATAATAATAATGACGTGTTGTAAATATAAAACAAACCCTTCCAGTTCTTTGTTGACTTGGTCACAGAAGCCAATGATGTACTCCCAGTCCTCTTGTCTGTTTGTTGGATGGGTGGCTTTATCTGATACACAATTACATTTTCACACAATTACATATTGATCATCACTCCAATCACACCATTCAAATCTTGTGTCAATTCAACAGACTTAACACACTGAAAAGACACTACATTTTAAGACCTCCACCCAGATGACTGAAAAATGATGTACATATCGACCAGTCACGACCACAATGCCGTCGAAAGTGCCGGAAAGCAGTGCTGACAACTACTGTATGAAATAACTGACTGTGTCGTAACGCTGGCATTGGAAATTGCACAACTACAAGTGTCTTTTAATTTATAAATTTGCAAAAATCACTCACTGAGCCAGGATTCAAGCGACTCTCCTTCCTGATACGCCATAGTAATCAAAACATCGCGAGATGTCACGAGCGTGTAAACGAGAGTCGCGTAAAATGCCATTCTAATACCATATAAAGTAAAACAAAAAACATACAGTAAAATACAAATTTAAAATACAGTATTGTTTAATTTGTATTCATATTGAAATTTAGAAAAATAGATGGTCTTTTTTTTGAGAAGGCAGCTGCACGAGCTACTAAACTGAGTGTTGTCGGGGTACTGACATTTTCAACATGGCGACTTCCATTTCTGGACTTTTAAAACCTTGGACACCCAGGTAATGTCGCATTTTATAACTATAAACGAGATAAGTAATGAATGAAGCATTAAGTTTTTACATCCATCCATTATCAAGGACAGTTACATGGACAGAGTAGAGAAATTCCGTTGCATCGTTAAATTCCTGTTCAAGGTAGACTGGGTTTATGCCTGATTTTTTTTGTACCTGTAATTGCGTTTTTTTTTTTGCTTTCCTCGCATACATTTGTATATTTGTTTGAACATGACCACTATATGTTAAGTCCAATAATATCTTGAACTTCACGTTTGTGCTGATAGTCTTATACTCTCCCCATCATTACACATACGAATTTCCAGTATTATTAACTTGATGATGATACCAATAGACTTCATATAACTAAAATGCATTACAAATTGTTATGACTGTCTGATAAGATGACTATGAATGAATGTTTTGTGTTTCCAGGGTCTTGGCGATGCGATGGAGCAGATACAATCCATACTATCTGGAGCCAGAGGTGAGGAAAGAGGTTTATGACAAACCAGAGACGGAACTCAGCGATGAGGAGAAGGAAGAGCAGTCGCTGAAGGCTCTCAGACCCATCAAGGCGGCCACGAACAGCGTCACCAGCTCAGTTTTCCATGATCCTGTCATCAGGTATCTCGAATACATCCTAGAATGTTTCAATAACCAGAGATGGCAAAACTATACTTAAGTAAAAGTGCTTATTTTGTTTGACTTGATGGAGACTCAAACTAAAGTCATTGGAAAAGTAGTTACTTTAGAATGGATACCTAAAAAAAAATATACTGAAGTACAATAATTATGTTTTTAAACTTGGCTACTTCCCACCACTGTCCGTATTACACACGGACGCACTGTGGAGTTGTTGATTGTTTTGTCTTTGGTTTTCCAGTAAGTTCATCAACATGATGATGAAGCATGGAAACAAAGTTTTGGCAAGGGAGATCATGACAGAGGTACGAACACATTGGTATTTACTCACAACTTCAGAGTCTTCAGTAGATGGCAGACTGAGGAGGCCTTTCACTGTGGTAGTTTTTTCAAGTCCGTTGAAAATGTGCCTGCTCCTTTCACAGACATTGGAGCTTATTAAAAGGAAACAGGTGGAGAAGTACCACAAAGCTCCAGAGGGAAAGAGAGAGGAGATTGAGTGCAACCCTTATGCTATCTTTCATCAAGCTTTAGACAACTGTAAGCCTGTCGTTGGTCTCACCAGCATCCAGAAAGGTGGAAAGTACTACCAGGTCAGTTTCAGTTGCATAAAACAAATTAACTAATAAAATCTTCTATTTTTGTTCATAAATATCAGATCCCCACACCGACCCTCATATACAGAGGAAGTAAATGATACCAAATTCACCAGACGCCACATAAAAGCTTCAAATAAAACCATTTTGAAAATGAAAATAAACCACCATTCTTTTGTCATTCAGGTGCCGGTGCCACTTACAGACAACAGGCGACGCTTCCTTGCCATGAAATGGATGATCACAGAGTGCAGGGAAAATAAGCACCGGCGTACACACATGTATGAAAAACTCTCTCAGGAACTGATGGCAGCTTCCATGAAGGAAGGCAATGTCTTCAAGAAGAAGATCGAGCTCCACAAGATGGCCGAAGCCAACAGAGCATACGCGCATTACCGCTGGTGGTAGAAGTGCAGAGGACTGGGGGGGGGGAAAAAAAAACAACTGTCTTCTTCACATTGAAAGGTGACATATGGCACCTTTTGTAAATAATAAACTTGAAAAAACTCAAGGGCTGAAGAGTTATGAACTACAGGGATGGCTCGGTTCATCACAATAGTGTAGAAAAGCACAAAATGTGTTTAAAATATATTCAACATAATTCATACCTACACCTATTTTCAAGCTGGCTGTCAAATCAACCCCCCCACCCCCCACCCTCTTCTCCATGAGGCGCACACCGACAAGGTGTTCCGAAGCAACTGCGCCAGCAGTTCTCAAACATGTTTAATGTATTTAAAAATAATTTAAAAAACTATTCAAATTAATTGTGGGGAATCTGAATAAAAGGGGACATATATCACTTTGAAAAAGTCAGACCCATATCAAAACTTTTTTTGTAATCCAAGATTTTATTGGAACAAATACAAAATACAATAACAGTATACACATATTAATCTCCCCTTGAATAAAACCATAACAGCTATACACACTCCTTATTTACCAGCTGGCAGAACTGCAATGCATCTCTTTAATGATAAACTAGCTCTCAAAACTGCAACAGATATTTCTATTTCCTTCACCATTTGTCACACATCTGAAAACGGGTCAGACCAACTTTGATCTGATCAGGAATATCCCAACTTTAACTTTGAAATGTTTTCTCATGAAAAGGAGTTCCTTCAAGATAAATAAAACTACAATAAATAAATAAAAAGAATAACCAAGGAGGCTGTGTGACCGAACCTCAGGAATTTCACTCTCAGGATCGATTGCACATTTTTGATGTCCATCATGAAAATTGCTGGTGTATCCCCCCCCCCCCCAAAAAAAAACCCACACCCCCTTTGCCACATTCAGTCTGCAATTTCACTATAGTAATATCTGTGCGCCGTGCCGCTGAGCACCCAGCCCCCCGCCCTGAATTCCAGGATCTCCAGCAGCAGCAGGCGGGCCATGGAGGTGAGACCCTCCTGGAGCAGGAAGCCATCGCGCAGCAGGTAGAAAAGCTCATCCATGCGCTGGCTGCTGGACTTCTCCAACTGCTCCCCGATGCGGTGGAGCTGCAGCACCAGACAGTCCACCTGAGTGAGGGAGGATGCACCGAAGCTGGAGGTGAGTACAGTGCTATGACATGCAAAAATCTACGAATAATTGTCATGGCATTTTGATGCTGTAAGAAGGCAGCAAAGCAATGAAAACAGGATCATATAGCATCAACACCACACATAAAACATGAACATAATCATGAACCAATGTTACATAGACGACTGAATTCAGGCAGTTAAATTATTCAACACAAACAGGCCACATTCATACCTTATCAAGCATACTAGCCTAAATAGAGAATGGTCTTGCTCACCTCCTCCTCATTCGTCAGAGCATCGGGTTGCGCCAGCCTCATCAGACAGTCGTACACGGGATGGACCAGCGCCACCATGGGCATGTTGTTCACCTGCGCAGCATAACAAAAATTACAATTAAACAGGATGCTTTGAAAAACGTGCATACTTGCATATGGGGACCGGCGTGCTACCAAAACAAACATGAACTAATAGCTCCTGCTGACCTTTACTTTGGCCCGATTAAAAGCTTCTATTCTCTTACAACACTATTACGACTTTCGAGAATTCTGTTCTTGAGACTTACGATCGCAAGAACATAATGGTAGTGGTTGTGAAACTTTGATTTTTATGTTGTAATATTAAAACTACTTTGGAAAATTACAACTTTATTCTTGGAAGACTGACTTTTTATCCCAACAGATTTGTTCTTGCAAATCACTTTATCCCTTTGACAACATATGAATTTTCAGTTGTAAAATTATGAACGCTTTTAATTGCTATGGAGTTTAGGGGTATAGAAGAGAAAGTTTTCTCCTTGTGTGGTGCAGATACAATGAAATTTGGGCGCAACGCCGAAAAACAGATAGTTTAGGGTGTTTGCATGCTCACTTTGAGGTAGTCGTAGATGTTACAGATGAAAGTGACGAAGCAGACCCACTCCTGCAGGGAACGAGCTCGAGTCCCCTCGCGTTCCTTGAACTCCTGCTGGAGCCTGTTCAGTAAGTTCCTCCTGAACACACTGCCGTTGTTCTGCTTGGCCTCCGCCTGAGCCACAAATGAGATTTTCATTAGAGAATGCAAATCAAAATGCTTCACCCCTTATAGATGCTCGGTACTTGCTGCCACTGAATTTGGAGAAAACTTTTTTTTTTTTTTTTTTGGTCAAATATTTGGATTGACCTTTTCCATGTATGGGAGACAACAATAATAAAAACAAACCTTTCGAACAAGAAACCAACAGGTGAAACAAAGAAAAGAACATCCAATGGAAATTGCCGTACTCCACCCAAACACACCACTCAATCGCACACTCTTACCACACAACATTCCAATAAATTTTGACATGCTGTTAATTGAATAACAATAATAAAAATGTCAAATATCAGGATACATAAACTAGGAGGGGTCGGGGGGACAAATCAGTCGGTCATTGGTCCTCTGCATCAATATGCAAGGTTTTGTGGAAGGTCTGAAGGGAACCTTTGAAGGAAAATCTGATCTTGAATTGACCTCTTAATGTGAACATGTTTATTACATCACAAGATTGCCTGGTCATGGGTGGAAAAAAAAAGATTTTCAGATGAAAACAGTTGCAGCAATTGTGTAAATAAACACACCGCTGGCCACTGATAGCAACTCCTGACATCGCAAGCACCTGCGCAATAGTGTAGCAAATGCGTCCTGCCTCCTTGCTGAACACCTGGTCCTTCAGTGACTGATCCACAATGATGTTGGACACCTTCTCCAGATTCACTGAGCCTGGATCTGGAGGATGATTAACATATTTGAAACCATTGACACACTTTTGGGAATTTTCATGTATTGAACTGACCTTTCAAGGCTGTTTTGAGCAACATTTGCGTTTGCAGGTCAAATGACTGGATCCTGTAGTCTTCGGGAGAGTTTTCCATAGCTGCAGAGAACACCACTGAATGCGATCACAAACTCTACTTCCGAAAGCCTTTACTCTATTGGGATTTTTGTTTTGTATTCCACTATATAAACATTATATAAGGAATTTAAATGTGCTTCTGTGTGCCTGTGCTTGTGAAATGGTAAGTCCACAGTATAAACAAAAACTAAATACAAACTCCTACCTAAACTATTTAGCAGGCATAGACAACAATAGCTCCAAAATCCTGTGGTGTCATCAAGTTGGCTGCAGAGCGCAAGGATTAACATGTGTAAACTCGGGTCACATTAACGTCGCAGTGCGTTAAATAAAGAGGTTATTAATCCCCCAAAAAGCACGTTTAGCCGATTAAGAAATCAGTTCCTGGCAGTCGGGTAAAAAAAAGTGTTTGTTTTTACATTTAAAACGAACGTGATGCTAGCAAGCTAGCTTCTGTACTCATAGTCAACAAGTAGAAGTTAAGTTTTAACGCAAGAAGAGTTACATGTTGAGTAATGAAAACATCTGGTTTATATTACTTACATTTTGGAAATGCTACGCGAATCGTAACGTGAATTGAAGAGTCTTCGCGTTTTCACTTGCATAGGTATGGCGTGCTGAAGGCATTCAAAGATGAAATATAGCTACAAGAGTGTATATGTCCACTAGCATAGGTAAGCGTAGTCTTTCTAAGATACAATAACAACACAAGATAATTCCCCATCACAGGGTTGGTCAATGAGAGAAATTCGTCGTTGCCGCCTTGGGGTGAGAAGATCCCCCTTCTCCTTCAAATTATGTTTGGTCTTAGCATTTTTTGTACGTATTAGAAGTTGATTATCTTACTATAGCGTCATTTTAAACACATTTTTCATTTATGGTTAGAGAAGTGTCTGAGGTAGAGCCCAACCACACTCATTAGTGGCGGCTGTGTCTCTATTGTAATTATTATTATTTTAATTCACAACATGTTCAATTTTACAATTCAATAACATTTACTTTGTCGATATATCAAACTAGAAAACATAAAAATATATTCGATTAATCAGCTGTATTTATTATTTTAAAGCACATTCATACTGTGGAACGTCATCTCCAGGAAGTGGTTGTAACAGTCAATGGCGGAAACCGTATTCGTTTGACTTGTTCAAGTCAGAGTTCGACGTCTATGCCGAGCATTTTAGGCGTATTTTTCAAAAACGCCAACGCATTTAGCCAAGTAAGTTATTGACTGCACTGGTTATTACTGTTGTATTCCTCCTCGCGAAATGTTCTCGTTGTTAGCTTAGCTTTTAGCAAAGTCCTACAACATGCCCTCTACTGCCGGCTTTGTTTACAATATAATTCTCGCGTTACAAATTTCAGAACCATGACAGTTTCTCCATTTGCCGAATACGAAATGTAAAATTCTTGTTTGATTACGTGGAGAATCAACCAAGAATTTAAAAATGTTCTCTTATTTCTAAGGGGGGCTTGGAAATGGGAGGTAAAGACTTGGGTATTTCATTTCAAAATTTGAGAATTCTTACTTGATTTTAGACGAATGACTCAGCACAAGTCCACTCCTGCAAATTCTTAAATGGGAGTTATTTCGTCGGAAACTAATATCAGTTTTTCCATAACTGTCATGTGCGATGACACCAACAGTACAATGTTGTACTGTTGTACTATACAATACAATACATTGTACAATATAATTCTCTGTTCGTCTGTTTTAACAGGTAGCAGAAACCTTGGCAACATGGTGGGCTATGACCCCCGGGCACAGAAGTTACCGCTTCGTGCCCAGGAGGCAGCCCTGGCGGGGTCGGCTGCTGGCATGGTCACCCGAGCCGTCATCAGCCCTTTGGATGTCATTAAAATTCGATTTCAGGTAGTGTGACATGGAGTTGTCACATTATCCATCCATACATCTTCTATCGTGTTTGTCTTCATTATGGTTGTGGGGCGGATTTGGACTAGTTACCAGTCCCATGGCAAATCCGAACAATTGGGGGCTCTTATAAAATGAATATTGTTTTTATGATATCAATATTACTTTCTCTTGCAGCTTCAGATTGAGAGTGTGTCTTCTACAACCCCAGGAGGGAAGTACTGGGGATTACTTCAGGCGGCACGTTGCATTCGCACAGAGGAGGGCCTCGCTGCTTTTTGGAAGGGCCATGTTCCCGCACAGTTGCTCTCCATCTGCTATGGAGCAGTGCAGGTACAACCTCCCCTCTGCTTTTTAAACACTCACGGAGCATCAACACATACAAACAGAGCTTACAAAAATACTCAAAGTCATTCAGCCTTTTAGCAAAGTTGCCTAAGTCACTGTCAGAGCCATTATCCACAAATGGAGAAAAGTGGAAACAGTGACAAATATTCCCAGTAGTGGTCAACAAGCTAAAATTCTTCCTAGAATAAAAGCCAAAGAATTCCAGACCACGCCGGCTTCAGTTTGTGTCAGCGTTCACAACTGCACCATAAGAAAGACACTGGCTGAAAATGGCATCCATGGGAGAGTTCCCAGACGAAAACCACTGCTGTCCAAAATTCAACCAAAAGGCTTGTCTCGCATTCGCCAAAAGACATCTTGTTGATCCTCAAGAGTTTTGGAAAAATATTCTGTGGATGAGTCAAAAATTGAATTTTTTGAAAGATATGTGACCTGTTATGGCTGGGGTAAAAATGGCTCAGTATTTGATAAAAAGAACATTATGCCAACAGTGAAGCCTAGTGATGGCCGTGTGATGCTCTGTTGCTGCTTTTTTTTTTCTTTAACTGATCTAGTCACAGAAACGTCAACATGATAAAGACAATTATGCTGTGAGGCTAGCAATGTGTTCCACACTAAGGGTGCCCTCTGCTCAACTCTAAATATGGTCTTGCCTGTAAAACTGTAAAAAAAAACATTAAAAAACTGATTAAAGAAAAAGGGGTACTGCAAATTAATTTAATTTCTATTTGTCTTAGTACATTTTGTGTGTGATTAAAAACTGGTAATATTTTGTGTTGCAGTTTACTACTTTTGAGTTTCTGACCAAGGCAGTGCACGACACTACGCCCTTTGACAGCCAGACATCCGGAGTGCACTTTCTGTGCGGAGGCTTGGCCGCCTGCTCTGCCACGGTGACGTGTCAGCCTCTGGACACGCTCAGGACGCGCTTTGCCGCCCAGGGAGAACCCAAGGTGGGAAACGAATTGGACACAACGTTCAAACCTGGCCACCCTTTCTGACGAGTTGATTGCGGGGATATCTTGTAAGGTGACCCTCCAAGAGTGAAGTTGGAAAATGGCATTTTACGAGAATCAATTTGCAGAAAAGGGGACATTTGCTATTTTATTATACCCTGCTGAAAATAGTGAAAATACACTATTCATTGATGAGACTCCTCAACTCACTATGTGGATATGTGGGTGGGTTGTGTGTTTGCAGTTGTACAAGAACCTGACAGACGGTGTGCGTACAATGTGGCGCTCGGAGGGCGTGCTGACATTCTACCGCGGCCTCTCGCCAGTGCTCATCGCTGTGTTTCCTTACGCCGGCATGCAGTTCTTCTTCTACAACGTCTTCAAAAGGCTGCTGGCGCCACCTCCGTCCGCTGGCAAATCGAGAGGTCAGTGCACTCATTCAGGCTTTTAGTTTAAAATAGATGTTTTGTTTTTTTTTCTCCTCCAGGCGGCAGTGTTGCCACTCTGACCAATCACGTTTGTGCGTCTGCTGTCTTTTTACGTTGAAGAAAGCCTCAGGAGTATTGTGTGTGGCAGTGCAGCCGGAATGATTAGCAAAACAGTCACATACCCGTTGGACCTGTTTAAGAAGAGACTACAAGTTGGAGGTTTTGAGGAGGCCAGAATTCAGTTTGGACAGGTCAGCTGCTTATTTGTGTCCTTTTATTAATGTTTAACTCTCTTTTCATCCGATTTTCAGGTCCAGCTAAAACTAGCCTAATTTGAGGGGCAGGTGTTTTCATATGCATTCAAAGTGCCATGTGGTTTATTATTTGGGGGTTTCAAAAAAGTACAACAATGTTTGAAAATGTCTTGTACAGGAACAAATGAAATAACTTAGTGATAGAAATAACTGGCAAGGTACAAAAACAGTATAAGATCAAATAAACGCAATGTCAAACAAATACTGTACTTAAATCGGGGTGTCAAACTCTTTTTAGTCGCGATAATAGTAAGTTTATACACATGATTTGCTTTTGCGGGCCACATAAAATGACCTGGCGGGCCGGATCTGGCCCCCGGGCCTTGAGTTTGACACCAGTGACTTAACTAGTGATGTAACTGATCAGAGGTTATTCCCCCCCCCCAAAATGCTTCCAGGTGCGACGTTACCGAGGCTTAGCAGACTGTGTGGCGCAGATCTCCAGAGAGGAGGGCGTACGAGGCTTCTTTAAAGGCCTCTCTCCCAGCCTGCTCAAGGCGGCCCTGTCCACCGGCCTCACATTCTTCTGCTACGAATTGTTCCTCAATGCGTTCCGAGACCTCAAAGACCTCAATGGACGTGCGGCGGCAAGATAGCTAAGGTGGGCGGGAAGTAGTCACAGCCACTTCCTGTTGAGTTTACAAAATGGAGGTTGCATGCTACATGGAAAACATTTATTTATTCTATTATGTCTTTCGGAGAATACTCTGATGGGTTTATTTTGATATTAAACAGAACTTTGCACATCTGAACCATTGACTCCAATCATTCTGTGTGTTGGTGTCTTGATTTAGAAGTTTTTTTTGGTTCTTTGTTTACTCACGCATGAGCTATCAGAAACTCCGCCGCTAGATGGCAAAGCAGTTCAAGCCTACAACATATACGGTGCTCAGAAAAATTTAAGGACATTTGGCCTTTAGGTGAAATATCAGGACGAGCCTAAAATGCATTCAAACCTTCACAGGTGAACTTAATGTGACCTTCTCGAAGCTTTTGAATGCACATGTCCAGCTGTCAAATGTTTCAGTAAATTTTGCAGAAGTTGCTGTTTATGTTCTGTTACATATACAGTACGTTTTTTGATTTTGTCATATGAGCGCAACAATAACGAAGCACTCCTATTAATGCAACAAGAATTTATTTCATTGACTTTACACAATAGGAAACCCAATAACAGAATGAGGTGAAAGTGATTCAAGCTGCTCAAATGATTGAAGTAGCAAAAGTAAACAGAGAAGTGGGTATCACGTTGAAGAATATGCGAAAAACACAACATTCAATTTGCCCAAATTCAAAAGTCATGCAAAGTACGCCACGGCTTACACAAGTACTATGATCAACACACATACAAAATAGATTGTGCGTCCATAGAAATACACAACAGTCAATTAGCATGACAGCACCTGAAGATTGATTTTTTTTTTTTTTTAAAATACAAGTTTTTACAGGATAATTACTGTGAAGCCCTCACATATGGGAACGGAGAGCCACGCTTACAATGCACATTTCAGCTGTTTATGTCAGGAGAACAGTAAAACACAATGAAGCTGCGGTCAATCACCACTCACGCAGACTCGCTGATTTCATGAATAACCTAAGCAGGCCCCGCCTCTTAAAGCCACATGCATGGACACAGAGACTTCAATATGTACAGTACTTTCTTTGCATTTTAGGACAGCAATTAGTTTTACTTTTTTAGGGGGTGTGGGTTTCAAATATATTTACAATGTGTTGAAAAAGTGTTTCAATATGTTCAAGTGTGTGGGAGTTTTTATGTGCACCATAGATTTTATGAGGTGGGTCTGGAACACATCACTGCGATAAAAGTAGCACTTTACCACCATCTAGTGGTATCATGGTGCCAAGGAACTTAGTTGACATGAGTTGAGGAGCTTCATTTCGACAAAAGTAGTGTTTGGTTCCAAGGAACTACGTTCAAGTGAGTTGAGGAGCTTTATTTAGACAAAAGTGTAGTGGTTTGATGCTATCTTGTGGTATATGTGTTCAGAGGAACTATGTTGCATTGAGTTAAGGGGCTTCAAATGGACAAAAGTAATGCTTTGGCGCCATCTGGTGTCGACGGTAACCATTTTAGGGGGTGTTCTGCTCGGTCCCTACTTTCTTGCAAATACTGGGGTTCATGGTATTTATAGCCCCATCCCCCCAAAGTCATACTAGTGAAGTGACACAGACACACGTGTCAATCACGATGCCAGCTCATGAAGCAAAACAAGTGTCCACCAGATGTGCATCATGTGACTCCATCACAACAGACGTGAGCACCCAGACCCTGAGCTTGTCTCTTGAGCTTTTTTTTTTTCTTTTCTGAAATTTAAATTATTTGTAAGGAATGTATGCTACACTTAACAGGGCCAAGAGTGCTGAACAGTGCTTCGGGCTTGTGTATTTCCCTCTTGGCAACCTACAGGAAGCCTCGCTAGGCTCTGTGGCAGGTGTGGGAGCTGAGACCGCCGTCATGCCGAAAACCGCCTTCAGCCAGCCGAGGGGCCGTCACGGGATGCGACATCCTCGACTCTTCATTCGGGCTGCGAGCCTGAGTTCCAGGAGAAGAAGCTGGGAAGTTTGAAAAGGGAATCCCGCCGTCCCTGCGGGTCGGGCAGAGTCAGGGTCTCTGGGGCCGACTTCTTGCGGGGGCGGTCCTTGGGCACGGTGAGGAACTCAGGTGCCTCGGTAGAGAGTGGCGTGGAGGGGGCACTGTTGGGCCCGCTTCGGGTACTGCAGGGCAGCGGCGTCTCGCTGATGGCGATGGTCGGCGGGAAGGTGCCGATCTTCAGGTTGGTGGCTTCCTGAGTGGCGCGCTCGTACTCTCGCACCTCCTCCATGCTCATGTCTGCCGTCGGGGACACAGGCAGTCACGTGATACTATTCAAAGGGTCGTTTTTATCACCAATCACGTTGTGTGGAAAATTTCTTATTTTCTTTTTTAAACCAAAAAATGAAATCATAAAAAAGGTGAAGTTGCAAGGATGTGGTGGTCCACTGTAATCTGTTGCAGCGCCCCCAAGAACATCAGTATTCCTTTTTAAATGTGTTTTCTCCTTAGAAAAGTACAAGTATAGATTATTGTACACGATAAAAAAAAAAAAAAATCAACAAAAACAGAAATTGGGCGTGATGTGATTTTTATCTGACGGGTAATAGCTGAAACAGAAGGAAATTTCACATTTAAAAATCTGTGTAGCCCCACTTCAGCCCATCCAGCATTTTATTGGATGTTGTAAATTATTTCGTCAGCCCCACTATGTATCGGTTAAGCCCTTTTTTTTCCCCCTGGCGGGGGAAAAAAAAATCCCGCCTGTCCCTGGTTAACTTCCTGAAAGAAACGTCTAATTTCCGTCGCTGACTCTTTGTCGTCCCGATGTGAGTCGATTCATGCAAGGTTTGCCACTCACCAATCCATTCATCCACCCAGGCAAAGGCCTGCTTGTGTCCCAAGAGCAGAACATCTCGTATGACCTGAGCACAAATGCCACAAATGAAGAAAACAGTCAAGAGACGCTTCAAGGATGTGTGGTAGGAATCGCATTGAGTGCTTTCATTTGACTCTTTACAGCTGAGGGTACTTCATGCCCCCAACATTTTGTCTTCACTCCCGAGCTTGGACGTTGATTCATGAGTCCAATATCCGCAGCCTTTTGCGAGTAATGTATGAAATTGTATTTGATTTTTTTTTTTGGAATGTTCTCATGCTGACCTTGTGTACGAATTGCTCCACGCGTGTCTGCAGGCCCCACACTTCAAATTTGACGCTGACCAGCTTGTAGGAGCACATGATGGGATCCTGCGTGTCTATCCAGCCTTCCTGCAGGAGTCCACGCTCGGTCTTCTTGGACTTGAAATAGCGCAAATCCTATATGAGACCGAGACAAAAAGCACATATTCATTCATTCAAATCATGTAACATGAACTTTCGGCATATCACTCAGCGTGTGGCGGGCCTTTCATATCCCAACCACCGCTATCCATACCATAATTATAGAAACCGTCATCTACACAAAAATGCAATAGAACAAAACATAACTGTAAAGGTTCAAAAAAACAATATTTCTCTTAAAACATGAGGAAGCCCCCTCTAACTCTGACTAACCAAACAGAGTACAGGAAAATGCTGACTTCATCAAGGGCCAGCTCACTGGGAAACGCAGTTGACGCAACTGACGAGAATGGATTGTTGGGAGTAAATTAATACACTTTCATGGAACAAATAGGAATAGTTTTGCTTGTAAATGTAGGCCAGTGCTTCGGATCGTGTTCAAGGTTTGCGGCTGATCTAGGTATTAAATTCAAATTCCTAACTTGTAGCACTCACACACGCACACACACACATGTGGATCTCTGGAAAGCAGGTCCACACGCTTGACAGGCGGGCCTTCATTACTACCTTTGCGTACATTAATCAGCGGTCCCTCCGGACTCATTATGCTATTGCGCTCATTTGTCTCGGGCTTCACTGTTGAACTGCGGCTAACGCTCCGTCCCCGCAGAGCCAGCCGGTGGCATGCCAGGCCTGCCGCGTATGCTAAGTGCCGCTTTAGCAAGCAAGTATAAAGGAGATTGGCGATATTGGTTAGAGAATTTTGGTAGAGATTTTAGCAAGCATCATGAAAGGTTACATCTTTGATTTGCTTTCATGGGCCAGATCTGGCCCCAGGGCCTTGAGTTTGACACCTGTGGTCTATTAGAAACTTTGCTGCTGTAAATTGGGAATTTCTGAATTTTGGGACGAATAAAGGTTTTCTTATCTTATAAATACCCTGGCTCGTGACTCACTGTGCACAAATTCACCTTTTTGCTATTTTTTTTAAACCTATCCTGTCTTGTTCCCTAAAAAAAACATCACCTTTTTCACTCTTTTGTGGTATTTTTGTATTTTGTATTTTGTACAGAAAGTCAAAATGAGTAAAGGCAGTATGGTCACCTCTGAATCCTTGTAGTGCCGTTCCGGAACCTCATCATAGGCGATGTCCACAAAACACACCTCAGTTTCCTCATCTCGGGGCTCACAGGAAAATATCTGCATTGGAAGGCACAACTCAAACGAGTGATGACAGCCTGATCAATAACACACTTTTGGCCTTTAGTAAAGTGTGTGCTGATGTACTGTGATTTCCCAAGCCACACATTGAGTGTGTGTGTGTGTGTGTGTGTGTGTGTGTGTGTGTGTGTGTGTGTGTGTGTGTGTGTGTGTGTGTGTGCGTTGCAAATCAAAACGTACCAACGGAACAAACCAGATTGAAAGACATGCAGGAGGCAGAATGATAAAATATTTTCCTCAAAACTACAGCTCAGATCTGAGATTTGATCGTTAATTTTTCTTGTGGGACTCGGGATACGAATGGAATGATAATGTATAAATATGTTAATATGCAAGGTGGAGCTTGTGGTGATTAAAAATGACACTTATTGTGAAGGCAAAAAAAAAAAAAAAAATTCCTCTCCGGCATAGTTTTCTCTCTCTAAATACATTTTCAAAATCAGTATTTCTGCATTTATGGTGAAACTAAAACGAAAAACTTCACAATCAGAGACAGCTGGGAAAGAAGGCGGGACCAAGGGACCGGTCAATCCTTGCTCATACACATCGCGGCTCACACTCAAACTCTCGCAAAGAAAGGAGACTTTTCTACTTTCTTGGCCGCTTATTTCACACTCGTCTGTAACAACACAGGTTCAAAAGAAATTATTGGAAACTTCTCGACTTGTAAATGTTGTTATTTGAAGCGTGGACGGCTCATTCTGGACACCTGCAACCACCACCTGCGCCAGCGTTACCATTAACATCGGCTTGTTAGGTAAATCGAGCGCCTCTCTAACATTTTAATTGATTGTACTTTACAATAAATACAACAACCACCTGATAACATTTCGGTTTTGGCAAGACTCCTTAGCGAAGAAGTCATGCTAGCAACGGAGAAAAATTATTAGCGCGGCGCCGTGCACGCGCGTGAGTGGGCTGTGCGCGTGGGAGGCATGACGTCAGGTCACGATCAATATTTTCGTTTTAATACGAAAAACAAGGCCGTTATTGCCGTTATCAATACCGATATGTGACGTTTGCCTTTTTAAAATGATTAAATCGTTAAAAGCCAGCACATAATTAGGACAGAGTATATTAGTCATTGGAAAATTAACGTTTTTTTTCGAAACACATTGTCAATGTCTCAATTTATTTTAGGGAGAATTTTGGCTAAAAGTGGCAATTTTCGGAATGTGAGAAATCGCCCTCTGCTTGGAATTTTGGGTTGAAACAGAAATGTGGAAAAATAATGTCAAAGAAGTTGTGGGAATAAGAATACAAAATGCATTTGGCTTTTGGGGCGGTACATAATAATGTTTGTGATTCCTTCTCACACAATAATACAAACATATCTATTCTATGACAATTTGCTGTGTCGGAAGGATGAAAGCAGCAACAGATGAAATTGGGAATTAAATAAACATAAAAAATAGCATGGTCAGATTTTTCATGGTTCAGGTGTCATCCCGCGGGTACAAACTGGAAAACTTTGCTGGTGGGGGTCAAACTAAGAGACTGGATCGCTCTCAAACGTGAACTGTGGACAGCTGTGATCTGGGAGCCTGCAATGCCCATTGGTGGCCACTGGGTGGTGCTGTGGCCTCTTTTATTACAACTGTGGGTCACCATTGCATAATGTGCCATTAAGATGTCACACGACGCAACTTGTAGTACTGTACACGAGTAAAAAGAAGTGACAGAACCAGAAGGTCTCACACGCTCTGTATTTAAGCAGAAGTTCATTTACTTACTTAAAAATCTAGTATAATCAAACGTACTGATTAACTCCTTGGGTTGTATTTTTGTGCACAATGCATGTCTCGTGCAGACTTTGTACTTGTAAAACAAAATGTGTTTTTCATTAAGAATTTGTATTTACTTAGTACCATTGGTAGTAAGACTTGAGAAATTAAAAAAAACGTATCAAGTAATTTAAAATAGATTTAATTGAAATATCTTTGATTCTATTTTTTTTTTTGGATGCACAAATGATTAAGGAGCAATCGTGTCCTCGTCACGTTGAGACTGAAATGGAAGGTGGCAGGTGCATGGGCTGCCACTCATCTTCCCTCACTTTTCAAATCCTCCTTTATGATTAAATTAGTACTCCCATCCTCCGTTTTACGTTATGGGCCATTTCACATTCACCTTCAGACACTTAACCAGCTCAAGTCGGCACTCAAATTTCACGCCGCTTCACCGGTTGTTCTGCCAAGCCATTACCTACTCTCGCTAATACCGACCATATTTCCAGACAGATTTCGTACAGTTTTTTCTTTCTAAGCTGCTTTTACGGAGAAAGAGAGAATATGAAGAGAAAATGACATCAAAGATCATGCAAGCGTTGTGCAACTTTTGACTCACCTTGTCGTTGCTTCCTTTGTTGTCCTCGTATTTGCTCTCTATATGGATGGAGAACTTGGGCAGGAAAGAGCACTAGCGACACACACACACACACACACACACACACACACACACACACACACACAAAATTACATTTTTTAACAGCACTAAGTAACACCTAAATAAGAAAGTAGCTCTCTAAGTAACACCATCATGACCTACTTTAAAATGCAAGTGGTAAGCCGAAGACCTCATTAAAAACATTTCTAGAAAGTCAAATTCCTACAGAGTTTAATTAATAGTATTGTGCGCTATTGCAACATTATACATTTAAACATTAGCACTGTACATACATACGGAGGTCGAGGGTTTGAATCTGGGCTCCCCGTGCCAGCGTGGGTTTTCTCCAGGTTTCCTCCCACATTTAAAAAATGTGGATGGCAGGTTCATGGAGCAATCAAAATTGTCCCTAGCTGTCTTTGTGAGTGGCAATAGTTGTTTTTCTTTGTGTGCCATGTGAGTGGCTGGCATCCATTACAGAGTGCATCCCGCCTGCTGCCCGAAGACACCTCGTGAGGGGAAGAGGCTCAGATTGTGTATGGATACTTCGTGGAAATACACTGGTGCACATTTAAGTCATACTTAAATAACTATTCAATTCAATTTGGGTCTGCATGAAGATGTAAAGAGCAAGCATATATGGACGCCGCAGCCTTTCACGAGTCTCCTAGACATCATTCTGATAGATTTTGTTAAAAACAAACAAACAGCCTGAAGTGAGAAGATCAACCCACTGCTGTTGCTTTTTTCGCCCCCTATTGATGTTTTCTCGCTGCCTTTACAGGACAGGCTACTCCATCTTAAGTCTAAGAGCAAATCGTTTGCGCTTCATCTCAGCGCAAATCATTAACAAGTTACGATAAAGCTGAGAGAGGGGCTTAGGTGGAATGTCTTCTCTGTCAAATGTCCTTCATTTGTTCACTTTGACTCACTGAACTGATCTTAGATTTGGACCTCTGGAGATCTTGGAAGATATGTGTTCATGACCGTGCGAACTCAGGGTTCACGCCCCCAAACCCCATTTTTTTTTTTCTTTTTAACAAAGCAAAGTCTTTGAAAAATGCTGATAGCTATTCAATAAATGTTCTCAATGGAACATGGGGGCAAAATGGGGGTAGGGGGGACATACCGAAAAACCATGACACATCAAACTTCTGACCAAAAAAATGTATTAAAAAAATTAATAAAAATCCATGTCTATGCAAATTCACGGGTGCTGAACTGTGAACTTATTGGCGTTTAATGTAGTTTTAGATTGTAATATCACCAGTCACCACTCGATGATAGACAAACATTAGTGGCGTTTCGTCCATCCATCAATCCATTTCCTGATCCGCTTTATCCTCACAAGGGTCACGGGGGATGTTGGAGCCTATCCCAGCCGTCTTCGGTCAGTAGGCAGGGGAGACCCTGAACTGGTTGCCAGCCAATCGCAGGGCACACAGAGACGAACAACTATCCGCGCTCACACTCATACCTAGGAACAATTTAGAGTGATCCATTAACCTGCCATGCCTCTTCCTGGAACATGGGAGGAAACTGGATTACCCAAAGAAAACCCACACAGGCCCGGGGAGAACATGCAAACTCCACACAGGGAAGCCGGGGCTGGAATTGAATCCGGTACCTCGGCACTGTGAGGTCGACGCGCTAACCACTGGCCCGCCAGGGGGGTTTCACTGTGGCTTATTATACTGCCCTATACTAGAATCTGAGTAGTTCAAATACTTTTTGCAGAATTGGAATGATAGGCAGGACAAACATCGTACCTCAGTAATACTCCAATTTTGATTGAGTTCTTTTTTGTGAAAAATGAGTTTGTGTGCTTAATGTTCTTGTTCAGCAGTTTTGTGCCATCCTTCAATGGTCAATTTTAAGAAGAAGAATAAGAAGAAATTACAGTATGTGGTTTTGTTGTTAGTTTCAAAGTCTTTGTTGTTTCAGGATAGCGGACCTTTCAGAGATGCATTGAATGATGTAGTATCAAAAATGAGCACGCATTTTGCATCTATTTTTGTCATACATCTGGTTAGGAAGTGCGTGGTCTTATTTGCCCCCCCCCCACCCCCATGTGTAAAAAATTGTGGCCCCTTCCAGCATTTAAACTGCCCATCCCTGTGCTAGATGGCGTTGGTGCTTTTTCATCCTTTCCGCTTTAACTGCTTTGCCAGCATTTTGTGACCCTTTATTAATCTCCATCACGTGAAATCATCTTAATCTTTCATGTTAATACACAGCCACCAAATATTTGTAATTGCTTCCTTCCCACCCTTTGCTGCTGTTTGATGTCATCGGAAGAGTACCGAACAAATGGAGGCATCAGAAAAGTCATTCATAGCAACATGGGAGCGCATATTTCCACTTGTATCGCTTCATCAAAACTACTCACCGTGTACTCTGATTAAATTCCCAGCGGTGGCCGTCGATTCAATGGACAGAATGTGAGAAGGTGGCGGTGCGGGGCGGTGGCAGGCAGGAAGCGGAATACAAAGAAGTAAATAAAAACAGGGTGAGTGATGAAGAGAAAAACAGCATTTTGTCCAAAGAAAAAAAAAACCAAAACACTTGGAGCTGCGATATCATTACGGCAGACGCACTCGAGGCCAAGCTCACATGAGCGTGCGGTTGACATGTTGCACGTAATCAAAGTTCACCTTTAGGATCTGGCAAGTCCACTGTATACCAAATACGGTAGATTTTGTGGCATGACGCTGAAATCCTTGACGCAAACACGACGACTTTGATAGGGTTTGTGCCACCCCTATGCTCATGTGATTGATCGAACCTTTTATTTATCATATGCAAAATGTGAAAGCTATTTAATTCCTACTCCGTCACCATCAACGATAAATGATCCTGGATGAAGTGCAATCTGAAATGCATAAACTGGTTCATATTTCTACAGTTATGTGCACATATATTGCACAAAAAAAATAAAGGGAACACTTGGGAGGAAATTGTGCTGTTTAAGTGTTCACTTTATTTTTTTGAACAGTTTATTTATGTGCACGTCAATACTATTTAAGATATATTAAAAAAAAAAAAAAGCAGACAAATGTTGATTTGAGGGTGACAAAGTCTGGGGTGGTTTCTTTATTTGCACATTTATTTGTTTTTTAAAATATGTTCCATTTACTCCAAACATTTTTCTCATTCTATTCTCTATTTTTTTAAAGATGTCAATTTTGGGTGTCACATTTCTGTCTTTTTTTTTTCTCCCTTTTGTGGGGGTGGTGTTGGTGGGATTTCCCAAGCCGATGTCAATTTTGGGTGTCACATTTCTGTCTTTTTTCCCCCCTATTTTGGGGGTGGTTGCGGGGAGATTTCCCAAGCCTTTTTTTTAGGGTGCTCCTGTTTGGACAGAAAATTGCGGCAGCATACCGGTAATGGTGTACGGGTAGTAGTTCCAAGCCTTCTCTGTCACGTAGAAAATCTTGGGCACCACCGCCCTGGCCCAACTTGGCAGCTTGCTGCGACCCACAAAATAAAACACGGAGGCATTGGCGACATGGTGAAAAAGAGACAGAACATTTCAACATTTTTTTGTTTTGGTTTTTTGTTTTCTGTTGTAACAAAATGAAACTTGGCAAACCATTTTTACACAGTTGGAAAGCTTTACCTTGCCCCATTTGGAAAGAACATTGCATTTGTGGGATGGGCACAGCAACTGTGGACGCGTGTAAAATGTGCCAAATGCTCAATGTCTGTGCCAAACAATTCATTCTGCTCTTGCTGCAGACTCTCTTTTAGTGTTTTTTGGGTGGTCCTCTGCTGGGCAAAACACTATCAGAAGCACTTACATACCACATTAATTCAGTGAAATTACATTTTTTTTATTCCCACCGGGTTATTCTCTTCATTTCATAGATGTTTCTCTTGGCTGCACTGCTTCCAGAATATGTATATGGATTTTCGAATTGTACTTATTTCTTGTCCATTCAAATTTCAGCCTCCAAGTGTTGCCATGCCAATCAGTAGTGCTGCCCCATTATTTTCAACTACATTAGCAATGAGATTATTTCTTTCACTAATCAGATTTCAAATTTATCTTGACAGTGTCAGAGCGCTGGCCTTGGATGATGTCAACGATTTCTCGTCCTTTTGATTGGTTGGCAAAACAGTTGGAAGGGAAACCCACGCCCGTCGTGATCCGCACACATTGATACTCTTAATAATCGGCATTTCTGGTGAGTTTGATTCACTTTATTGACATGTTTATGTTATTGGAAAAATGGTGATTTTGAGCAGCTCCGGATGTATGTGGCACTGTTTTAGGCGTTTATATTGAATTATTGCACGTTTTTGATGGTTTGTGTCATTGCGCTCAGTCCCACATGCGTGGTTGGAGGTTCTGGAAACAAAACAAGAGCCAACGACAAAATAAGCTGTTTGGCATAGGCGGTGAAGGTGTGTCAATCCCCCCACGTATGTTCATAATTTATCCCACAAGTTGTCCTTGTCCTGAGGAAGCAAAGTAAATGGTAAATGAAATAATCATGTCGAAACTGCATTGCATATTTCCTTGCATAGTCTCTCTGTGATATTAAAATCAATTTGATGAACTGAAACTTTTTATGATAAACACGAAAAGAACACAGAAATCCAGAGGGGGGCAAATACTTTTTCACAGCACTGTAACTGACGTTACCCTAAACGTAATTATAATAAATTAAATAAACCACACACTATGATCCCCAAACACATGGGAAGAGGCTCAAAGCATTTTAAAGACTTACACATTGTCGCCATGAAGTTAAAAAATTCTGACTTATGAAAAAGGCATAGGCACTGGAAACCATCCAGCAGTGTGACGCAGTACCAGAGGTCAGTCAGTCATGATGGCCACTGTTAATGTCGATTACAGCCAACACCCTGCAGTGGACTTGCTCATAAATACTCCGTGACGGACTCTTAATGCTGATAGTTGCTGGCACCTCATTGGGCATCCCAGCAAAATAGAAATTGACAGACTTTGGTGTTATAATGAGAAATGTTCAAGTCACTGCTTCAAAAAAATGATACAAAAAAAAAACAAAGACATTGTAGAATGCAGCAATTGATGGCGAATGGACCACTCTATCAGAATTGGTTCAGTGCACCACAAATGAGGCTCGGTCCAGATTACTACAGACTGAAAATAAGCCAATCAAGCGAGGTTGGGAGCAGCCAAGTTACACACCAAACTGTCATTACAAGTGCTCCTGATTACATTTTCACTCTTAAATCACTCATGGGAGTGTGAAAAAACATTATTCTGAAGAATCCTAATGGCTTCATAGAAACCAACGAGAGAAACAGATACTGGGCCACCGAAGCAATTCCCTCCTCGAGAAGAGAACTTTCAAGACATAGTCAACTAGCTATGTGTCATTATGCAGCTTTATGTGCGGCCAAGACACCTCACACACTGACACACACTTGATTGCATCATTACACAAGTGCAATTGTCCAGAAAGGCTTCTTGCATCAGTCAGCGTTTAACCCTTTGTTGAACAGCCTACCATGTCTCTAAATCACAGTCGCCCCCACCCCCACTTTCATCACGGACCTTAATACCCAGCCAATAAGAGATGACAAATAATGACGTCGAAGAAAAGCACAAAAGACTGATCCATACTGGTAATTCTTTCTAAAACAAGGACATTTTAATCCAGAAATGATCTAGAGTTGAAAATGTGGGCTCATGTTTTGTGTTCGTGGAGTGTACCCAACAGCTTAGGCAACTAGCCTTCTTGTAAAAAAAAAACTATTAATTATTTTTAAAGGAGCCCACCTTTGAAACATATACGTGATCTAGAGTTGAAAATGTGGGCTCATGTTTTGTGTTAGTGGAGTGTACCCAACAGCTTAGGCAACTATCATGCTCGTAAAAAAAAACTATTAATTATTTTTAAAGTAGCCCACCTTTGAAACATATACGTTAGTGATGATTCTGCACTTTACGTGCTCCAAAAGTGTGTCCCTGCCTCCCCGTGGCCGCTCTCCCGCTAAGGCAGGCAATTTCTTTTTACAGAGATCGACCTCTACCTGATCAAAAAGTTTTAACATTGCAGCTATTTTTGAAATGTTGGGAAAACGTTACTCTAAATTACTATAGGGAGCTATTTCCCCCGCATATAAATTTTCATTTAGCTTTTAAAGACATGCTGATGACATTGGAAGCTCCCTGAACTTTTTATTATTGTTCCCCAAAAAATGTCTCTTGTTTAAGTTTTAGAAAATTTGAAAAGTTGTTCAGTAAACATATCAACAAAGTTACAAGTTGGAAGTTTTTTTTTTTTTTTAATTGACATTAATATTTTCACGTTTACTGAAAATGAATATCGACTCCCAATATTGTTGCGCGGCCTCCTTGACTTCTCATAATTGGCATTGGCCTTGAAAAAAACCCCAAAACAAAACAGATCGGTCTATCTCTAATTTGCAAAATTACATTTTGGCCACGAACAGGCTATGTGGAGAGTAGTTTTGAAGAAAGGTTAAATGATCCATTTCTTAGACTGACTTCATGTCTCTTTCACACACACACACACACACACACACACACACACACACACACACACACACACACACACACACACACACACACACACACACACACACACACAGTCTATCCAAACCACTTCACTTCAAATTTCCCAGAGGTCCTTTCACTTGTCGTCCATGACCATAAAATCTTTTCGTCTCTGTCTGAAAAACTTTTTTTTTGGGGGGTGGGGATTTTGTGGCCAGCTGCTTGTTAAAAACAGCTCATTAAAAAGCACAAGTCCAGGTTGAAGTCATTAAAAAATTGGGGATGTAAGGAGTAAAGTGAGTAGAGTAGAAAATATTCTACTACTACTAAAACGCAAATCAATCAATCAAACTTTATTTACATAGCACTTTTCCTACATAAAAATGCACCTTAAAGTGCCGTGCAATTAAAACATCAAAAATACAACATAAAAAGAGGACCCTCCTACTCGCCCAAAATACACACACACACACACACACACACACACACACACACTGATGATCTATGTTAAAAAAGACATGGCAAGGCACAACAAAACCATATAAGGAAAAGAGCACCCAAGGGGAGCTCATCCATGCTGACAGCCGCCACACCTCCCAAAGTAGAGGCCCCCCCATCAGGAAACACTGGAGTTTTAACCCTTTCGGGGACAGTGGTTGCTTTAGTGGACAGCTTATCATGTTATCAGGTTACACGGTGCACGAACGGGTTAAAAAAAAAAAAAGAACAATTTAAATTAAAAGAAGTATATAAATGAGTTATTCAAAAGCCAAGCTAAGCAAGCACCTTAAAATTGCTCTCGGAACACACGGGGAGCCAATGCAGCGATTTTTAAAACTGGTGTAATGTCTTCCCACCCTCTCGTCCTCGCAATGGTCAGTTGCCAGGTGTGCGAGGTTAATTCAGACGCATTGCTCGGTGTGTCAGAGGCATCGGATGATGACACTTATTGGCCATCTGCAGCGTTCAGTCGGTCAGCAGCTCCGCCTTTGCAGTCGAAATACAATAGACCAAATCAATGAAGTGAACCGTCACTGTCACCTAGACTGACCTCTGTGCTCAAGTCAGAAGTATTTCCAGCAAACACACCATTTCTTCCGGCGCAGACCGCTACACATTCTTGGCGGCGGCATTTGATTGACCATTTAAAACAGTCAATTTCACACTGAAGCAACTCAGGAGCGCACAACGCCAACCAGACCTCATCCGTACGCTTAATCCCTTACTCATTCCCAAAATGGTTAAAAACATGCAGCGAGCAAAGCCTCCCATATCATGTCCTATATGTGTCACTGTCGATGCTCGGCTGTTTATTTCAGTAAGACGTGCTTTTGATGTTGCCATGTTGAAGTGTCACATCATCATATTTTAAAAAATCCCTCCTGTCATTTTTACGAGTGGCTTACTCATGTTGACGTGATGAAATGTACACCATAATGAGTCTTGATTTGCGTTCATGGCTAAGAGACGATGCGAACCGGGGTCTGCCGTTTGGAAATTCAGGAACGGGATGATCGAAACTGTTCAGAAAAGGGCAAGCGCTTTCAAAACAACATTGATATTGATTGGAAGAATACCCTGTCTGTCGTTATTGGTAACCACACCTTATTGAACAGAACCGGACTGCTTGGTGACGTAATGGAAAGTTTTCGATTTTGTATTATATCCTGTGCATAGCACACACAATATACACACATGAATTTCATTTCAGTAGATTTTTATACATTCAAGATTAAATTGCAACCGTTGGTTTAATTTGAACGCACAAGAAGCGACCCCAATCTGTCTGCTCAGGAACACCCGAGAAAGGTGGAAGCGTGAAGCATTTTTCATCGTCCATGTGAAGGTCTTGATTTGAAGATTTTTCCCAAATAAATGTTTCACCCAAATATATGCCGGTGTGAAAGCGGATGGTAAGTAGAGGGGACTCACTTGTTGAGGTAGATGCGTTTCTCAGTAAACTGGCCCGATCCGTGCTCGGGGTCCTCGTAGGGCTCATTCTGCACCACCTCCACTCCCTCGCCACGTTCGCTCTGTTCGTTGCTGTGCTTGCTGATCATGTACAGCTGGCCAATGCGGTACTGCAAGACAGGATGGCAAACAAAATAATTAGATACAATTGTAGAGCAATCATTGCGTCCATTTCGGTGGGTGAAGGTCATCTTGACTGAGTGGCCTTGTGATATGAGCAAAGCCACCTTGGAATCAATTGAAATTAAGCAGCGCATTTCTCTCCCCCATAATTGACGTGACAAGCGGAGACCCCGCCATCGACCCCAAAACGTGACCTTCTACTCAAAAGCATCCATGTCAGTGAATAATTTAAGGGGTGTGGCCTAGTAAGTGACATGAGGAGATGGGAGTTGGGTCACCTGGTCAGTTCAGTGTGAGCGACTGGGTGTGAGCTGTGGCCTAGAGCAGTTCCTTGCGAGAGTTCTTATTTTATATTTGTGTTTTTGACCATTATGTGAATTAATCTTCTGGAATAATTTGGGCCAGCAACATGCCCCCCCTCCAATAAAATAAATAAATTTAAAAATGGCTGGCATTTGTAGATCAAGGTCCCACTGCAATTTTAGACCGGTCATAAAGCTCAACCACAGGGAAAGTCAAGGAAGTATTTGACATTGATCTCGCGATGGTCACTACAGCAAAGCCGCGCAGATTAGCAACTGGCTATAGTGCAATGACAAAGCGCCCAATCCCGAATTAGGACCCGGCGACCCACGAGTAACCTTCATTTGAATGACCTTTGATTCATCACTCACTGACCCACTTGGCCACGTGACAAACTCTTATTAGACGTCCTGACAGGCCTAGTCGGGTGGCAACTATTTTCCATACAAGTGTTGCAGGGAGATGGAGAGTCCGGACTGCTCGCACGCCTATTTCCAGGTCTGAGAAATGCATCCGGCATGCATGATGACTTTTGTCTCTCAGCAGGAATGCCGGGTGCTCATATAGACACACTTGCATACACATTCGGAGTACCAATGGAGGATAGCTTTGTTAAGCTCACGGGGAAAAAAGACAAGTACAGTAAAGTCCTCTCCATCGCGGGTTTCAGGTTTGCAGTCTTATCATATTTTTTTTTTTGTACAGTCAATAACTTTATTTAGCATTTATATTGAGTGTAATTCCACAGTTGACCGCTAGATGGTGGCACACGTCTTTCGTTTGGACATAAATTTGGAAGACGAACGAAGCAGGAAGTATTTCAGCGCAGCCGAGGTTTGTTGAAAATTACACTGGTTCAAGAACAAATTTGAATCTGAGATTGCTTTATGTGTGCATAAAGGTATTTTTGATGCTAATTAAAAAAAAAAGGTTGACTTCTTTTCTAGCACCTCAGGTTTTGGAGATTTTCATTTTTATGTTTTAAGTTTGACCTAGAAAAGCATGTGGAATGTGGCTTTTACTGTGCGTTGCCATTCCGAAAAGAAATTCCACCGGTTTCTGAACCTAACCCTTCATTCATAAATATGACGAAATGCATTACTGTGTTTCATATTATTATTATTATTATTATTATTATATTAATAATATTATAGAGACCTAACGATCTGGAAGGCAAGATTCAGAATCACTGAAAAAAAATCCTCCCAAAAATTTGTTTACCGTAATTGAATATCATCCGCTTCAATCCTGCATTTTATGCCTACAAGAAACTACAGCTTTAGGTTGATTTAATGATGTACATCTTTTAATTTGGAAAAAAAATAGATTTGTTTACTGTAAACAGAGAGCAGGATCGGTAAGCTGTTGCACTGTTTGCACAATGCTCTTACTCGCTCTCAATGTGTTTAAATGTGTTTTGTGTTATTTTAAGAGCGTCTTTAAAGACCTTTAAGAACATGCCTAGAGAGTGTTTAAATATGGTATTTCACTTATGGTGGTGTGGAACGTATACACCCCTCCCGCTACCCCCCGCGGGGGGGGGGGGGGGATTACTGTCTAGCATTGGATGTTAGCTTGTGACTCCACAACAACTACAACAAGCCAGGAATGGAGTGGAAATATGATCGCGTGGTGGAAAATCAATCTGGCCAAGAAGCCCCGGGGCGTAAGTTCGTATATCACAATGCCACCGCAATTTTCCATCTGACTGTCAGGTGAGGAGAGTGAAGTTGGAATTTGGAAGGCGGTGTGTTTGTCACTGAGCAGCTGTTGGAGCGCGGCATCGTTTTTCACTGGGGATGACAAAGTCACTCGCAAGGATGGCGCAATTAAAAAAAGGAGCTTGTGTTTGTTGTCACTCAAGTACGTGTTCACATTAGCATAGCCAGAGTAGCAAGAGCTGCCAGAATGATTAATCTGCCAGCAAAAGATGTGGAATCAAACACGAACAACGAGAAATTGTGCTCAAGAAGACAACAACTTTTGCCCCAAAATCTGTTACATTCTGTCAATTGGAAAAAAGGGTTAAGGTGGCTTTTTTTTTTTCTTTATCATGTACTGGAGTGCAGTTATTCTCAAAAGTGTGGTAAGTGTACCACACTGGCTAAGTACAGTTCAGATGTATTTAACTTTTAAATTCAAAATATCTTATCTTTGAGAACCGTTTATTGACATTTATTCACTTTTTTTTATTTATTTAACTTTTCATGAAATCGTTTAAGTGCAGTTTGTTTATTTTCCGATATTGAAGTAGTGTAAATGTTCAAATGATGATTTATTTTAAAATGTTACTATCTATTCCAGGATGCCCCCCACACCCCAAAGTTTAGTTTTTTTTATAATATAAAATTCTATAATATCGCACATCATATTAACACATCTCGTTGAACTCACAAGTCTGCTCAAGGCACCACTATTTTTTCTTGTTTTACTTGAGCACTTCGTCCCGCTATACTACAGTATTTTAATGTTGATCATGATGTTGTTACTTGGAAAGCAAAGGATATTTTGAGGTGGTCGTTGGTGTAAAAAGTATGAGAAGTGCTGCTGTCGGTGCAGCAGAATGGGCAGGTAGCATGGACTCGGCACTCAGATGGCATGGTAAGAATTTTGCTGTGTGTGGGGAAAGTACAAAACAAAGATGAGAGACTATTGACATTGCTCTCATTAAATCTCCCCGGGAGGTGAAAATGATCACGGCCCAGAAATCCTCAAGAGTGCCACTCAAATGATGGCTGGCGGCGGCGTATTAAGACACGAAGAAACATTTGTGATCATTTTTTTCCTTTTGGTTTCATTTGCTGTATCGACATAACGCGCGTAAATATGCACATTTGCCGTCCTGTGTGCAGACTTGTTTTTCTTTCCATAATAGGGCAAAGAAGTGGCTGTGTTTTGAGAAGACTCAATGTGTTTTCATCTCTCACATCTTCCCTTAGAAGATGCAAGAGGCACTAGTCAGCCTCACGATATGATGCAAACAAGTCAAGATGTTGCCCTGACACACTTGAGAAAAATACGCTCGTCTCTCCATTTGGATTTCTTGTCATTTACAGCCAAGACAAGATTGATATAAGCTAGACATGTATTACTATCGGCACAATCATAAAATGAACGCCTCATACCTACTTCACTACCAATCTGTCTGCTGGCCCACTTCAACTATCTGAAAAATAGGACTGTTTCTTTATCAATCAGCATGAGTTGGTCTGAGGAAAATTTTGTTACAGCCACATTTGGCATCAGTATTTTTATGTCTGATTTGTTATTCTGGGCAAAAAATGTTATGGCCAAATTTGGCATTTTCAGCAATTTTCTGACTTTTGATTGGTTGGTCAGAGTGAAACTTTTTGCAGCCAAATTCCACAGGCAAAATGTTTGCTGTGATCTTTCTCATATTTCACTTATCTGCAACTGTGGTCCGTTTGATGTGTTTTACTGTTTAAATAATAAGAATAAGAAAATCTTGATTTGGCTCACAATGGAGAAATTCCCAATTTACAGCACCAAAGTTATGATAGGAAGAAAGTAGAAGAACAAAAAGTATAGGAGCTGCTGTAAAGGCAGCCACAACAAAATAATACAACACAACACATAAGACACAGACAGACACATAAGACAGACAAAAATGTATTTACCATTGTTGTTATACAGGTGCTTGGTAATGAATTTGAATATCATGAAAAAGTTGATTTGTTTCAGTCATACTATTCAAAAACTGAAACTTGCGTGATGCATACATTCTTTCCACACAGACTGATACGTTTTAAGTGTGAATGAATTTGAATGTACAATATATGATTTTATCTGAAAACGATTTTTTTTAAAAATTCAGTGTCTCAGAAAATGTGAATAAATCATATGCGAGACGTGGGTTTCAGCTGTCGCATTCCTTGTCTCAAGCCACTCTTAAACAACAAACATAACACGTGATAGATTAAAAAATGGATTGAGTCTGAAGGCCTGGGCACCAAAGCTGTGCCACTGCTGCCTATCTACGTAAGTAGCCAACTGTCCACCCGATGAACCAACATTCCCACCCAACCTACTACCTAGATCTCTTGTTGGATGGTGTAAAGTTGGCCGCTGTGGAGTTGCCATTTAGAGACCGCCTTTGACCACTGATCGTGCAACTGTGTATGAACCTCACCCCATAGTTCGACCGTCGTCAGGAGGGTGCGCTTAAAAATATTTTGAAAATAGTAATAGTCTTGTCTCACGCTGTTGTCATATTTCTGAATGAAATGCTGTGACGTGCACCATACGCGTTGGCGGAGCTCATAATCCATCCGCTTGCGCCTCGGTCAAATCCACCAAAGTTGCTCTACACCACCTGCGCCCTCACTTAGACCTGCTTTTAGATGGTCCAAATTCTAGTTTACTTTCTGGAACCAAATTGTCAGGTGCATCGCGGCGTGTAATTAAAAAAAAAGAACAGTCCACCGGAATGCTCAGCGAGGTGCAAGGCGGTCTGGCAAATTCCCAAACACGTTAAAAAAAAAAAATAGACTCGGAAATGTCCAAAAATTAAGATGCCCCAATCTATGCAACTGCATATCAGCCAGTTTACCAAAATAGGGCCGTCCGTGTGCCAGTATACATAATCCTGCTTCCAAAACCGAGTGTCACCGCACCGAACTCCTATAAAAAGTGAGAGGCGCCTACGCTTCAGCGCACAATGAGT